GTATAACAAGTAGGAGGTGGTGAGATAAAGCAGGTTACGTGCAATACCGGTATAACAGGTAGGAGGCGGTGAGATGAAGCTGGTTACGTGCAATACAGGTATAACAGGTAGGAGGCGGTGAGATAAAGCTGGTTACGTGCGATACAGGTATGACAGGTAGGAGGCGGTGAGAAAAAGCAGGTTAAGTGTGATACAGGTATAACAGGTTGGAGGCGGTGAGATGAAGCTAGTTACGTGCGATACAGATGTAGAAGGCAGTCAGATAAAGCGGGTTATGTGCGATACAGGTATAACAGGTAGGAGGCGGTGAGATAAAGCTGGTTACGTGCAATACCGGTATAACAGGTAGGAGGCGGTGAGATGAAGCTGGTTACGTGCAATACAGGCATAACAGGTAGGAGGCGGTGAGATAAAGCAGGTTAAGTGTGATACAGGTATAACAGGTAGGAGGCGGTGAGATAAAGCTGGTTACGTGCGATACAGGTATGACAGGTAGGAGGCGGTGAGATAAAGCAGGTTAAGTGTGATACAGGTATAACAGGTAGGAGGCGGTGAGATGAAGCTAGTTACGGCTTATACAGGTATGACAGGTAGGAGGCGGTGAGATAAAGCAGGTTAAGTGTGATACAGGTATAACAGGTAGGAGGCGGTGAGATGAAGCTAGTTACGTGCGATACAGATGTAGAAGGCAGTCAGATAAAGCTGGTTACGTGCGATACAGGTATAACAGGTAGGAGGCGGTGAGATAAAGCTAGTTACGTGCGATACAGGTATGACAGGTAGGAGGCGGTGAGATAAAGCTGGTTACGTGCGATACAGGTATGACAGGTAGGAGGCGGTGAGATAAAGCTGGTTACGTGCGATACAGGCATAACAGGTAGGAGGCGGTGAGATGAAGCTAGTTACGTGCGATACAGATATAACAAGTAGAAGGCAGTCAGATAAATCAGGTTACATGACAAGTAGGAGGTGGTGAGATGAAGCAGGTTACATGTGATACAGTTATAACAGGTAGAAGGCGGTGAGATGAAGCTGGTTACATGTGATACAGTTATAACAGGTAGAAGGCGGTGAGATGAAGCTGGTCATGTGCAATACAGGTATAACAGGTAGGAGGCGCTGAGATGAAGCTGGTTACGTGCGATACAGGTATAACAGGTAGGAGGCGGTGAGATAAAGCAGGTTACGTGCAATACCGGTATAACAGGTAGGAGGCGGTGAGATGAAGCTGGTTACGTGCAATACAGGCATAACAGGTAGGAGGCGGTGAGATAAAGTTGGTTACGTGAGATGCAGGTATAACAGGTAGGAGGCGGTGAGATAAAGCTGGTTACGTGCGATACAGGTATGACAGGTAGGAGGCGGTGAGATGAAGCTAGTTATGTGCGATACAGATGTAGAAGGCAGTCAGATAAAGCTGGTTACGTGCGATACAGGTATAACAGGTAGGAGGCGGTGAGATAAAGCTGGTTACGTGCGATACAGGTATGACAAGTAGGAGGCGGTGAGATTAAGCAGGTTAAGTGTGATACAGGTATAACAGGTAGGAGGCGGTGAGATGAAGCTAGTTACGTGCGATACAGATATAACAAGTAGAAGGCAGTCAGATAAAGCGGGTTATGTGCGATACAGGTATAACAGGTAGGAGGCGGTGAGATAAAGCAGGTTATGTGTGATACAGGTATAACAGGTAGGAGGCGGTGAGATAAAGCAGGTTACATGTGATACAGGTATAACAGGTAGGAGGCGGTGAGATGAAGCTGGTTACGTGCGATACAGGTATAACAGGTAGGAGGCGGTGAGATAAAGCAGGTTACATGCGATACAGGTATAAGGTTGGAGGCGGTGAGATAAAGCAGGCTACATGCGATGCAGGTATAACAGGTAGGGGGCGGTGAGATAAAGCAGGTTACATACGATACAGGTATAACAGGTAGAAGGCGGTGAGATAAAGCAGGTTACGTGAGATACAGGTATAACAAGTAGGAGGTGGTGAGATAAAGCAGGTTACGTGCAATACCGGTATAACAGGTAGGAGGCGGTGAGATGAAGCTGGTTACGTGCAATACAGGCATAACAGGTAGGAGGCGGTGAGATAAAGTTGGTTACGTGAGATACAGGTATAACAGGTAGGAGGCGGTGAGATAAAGCTGGTTACGTGCGATACAGGTATGACAGGTAGGAGGCGGTGAGATAAAGCAGGTTAAGTGTGATACAGGTATAACAGGTAGGAGGCGGTGAGATGAAGCTAGTTATGTGCGATACAGATGTAGAAGGCAGTGAGATAAAGCTGGTTACGTGCGATACAGGTATAACAGGTAGGAGGCGGTGAGATAAAGCTGGTTACGTGCAATACAGGTATAACAGGTAGGAGGCGGTGAGATAAAGCTGGTTACGTGCGATACAGGTATGACAGGTAGGAGGCGGTGAGATAAAGCTGGTTACGTGCAATACAGGTATAACAGGTAGGAGGCGGTGAGATGAAGCTAGTTACGTGCGATACAGATATAACAAGTAGAAGGCAGTCAGATAAAGCGGGTTATGTGCGATACAGGTATAACAGGTAGGAGGCGGTGAGATAAAGCAGGTTACATGTGATACAGGTATAACAGGTAGGAGGCGGTGAGATAAAGCAGGTTATGTGTGATACAGGTATAACAGGTAGGAGGCGGTGAGATAAAGCAGGTTACATGTGATACAGGTATAACAGGTAGGAGGCGGTGAGATGAAGCTGGTTACGTGCGATACAGGTATAACAGGTAGGAGGCGGTGAGATAAAGCAGGTTACATGCGATACAGGTATAAGGTTGGAGGCGGTGAGATAAAGCAGGCTACATGTGATGCAGGTATAACAGGTAGGGGGCGGTGAGATAAAGCAGGTTACATGCGATACAGGTATAACAGGTAGAAGGCGGTGAGATGAAGCTGGTTACGTGCGATACAGGTATAACAGGTAGGAGGCGGTGAGATAAAGCAGGTTACATGCGATACAGGTATAACAGGTAGGAGGCGGTGAGATGAAGCAGGTTACGTGCGATACAGGTATAACAGATAGGAGGCGGTGAGATAAAGCTGGTTACGTGCGATACAGGTATGACAGGTAGGAGGCGGTGAGATAAAGCAGGTTATGTGTGATATAGGTATAACAGGTAGGAGGCGGTGAGATGAAGCTGGTTATGTGCGATATAGGTATAACAGGAGGGGTGCGGATATATGTAAACTGTGTACTATATGAGGATATACGCTGCATGCTATTTATCTTATACCGATATACACTGTGTGCTATATACTAATATATACTATATGTAGTATAATTTGGCTCACACACTTTCTCACAGTTTTTTTGAGTCCCCCGGTCAAGGTGCTGTTAAAGAGAAAGTAATTTAAAGGTTGCTCCAGAGACTGAGTTGACACAAACACGTTCCAGGGAGAGGATATGCAGACAGCGGCACAAAGCGGTGAGTCGTTTCCTGTAGTAGCTAGGTAATTCAGTAGCATCATCCTAAAGGAAGAGAGAGGATTAATACCATCCAAGTAGGAATGAGGCAGAGTTTGCAGCATGGAAAGCTCTGTCCTCTCTCTACAACCATTCACGGTCCATAAATTCCATTCTTACCCAATGTGGATGAAAGTATTAATTTCTGTTTAGCTAATTCATAAGTCTTCAGACAAGCAACCTTGTAAATTTCAGGGAAGTTGTGTATGGCGTCTATTCTTTGCACATGACCATCTTATCTCCCCTCCTATTCTAAGAAGACTCCACCTAGTAGTGCCCCTTAGATAAGTTTTAGAGCAATGATTGCCCATACTGTCTGTTAAACATTGTCAATATTCGATTGGTAATTAACGATATACCCCTAAACTGCCCATTAGTAGATTGCCTTAAAACCTTTGTTCTGTTTAATTTACATCAAACATTCTTTGCATTGACTCTGTTGACACTTTTATTGTTTTTATTCAGTGTGATGAGAGCAATCTCGCCACATTGCATTGGAGAAGCCTGGTTGCTCGCCTGTTGCCTTTAGACTATGGCCCCATGTTAAAAGACATCTTTTTTAACAGCAGAAAAGATTTATTCGTTCTTTTCTGCCTGGTGTTCGGTAGATTCAATCTACCGAACAACCGCACCAATGACTGGACCACCTGGGAGCTGGAGTGTGCCGGCAATTAGCCTCCCTGAAGCTGCGGTTACCGCCATTCGTATCACAAACACAAGGTCACGGCCATTTTAAACATGCAAATGCACAGCGGTGTTCGACGCTTAATTCATGGAACTGAAATCGGACACAGTTTTGGGCGAACACCGCTGAAGCCGCCGACCTCCCTTCTTGTTCGGTGAAAGTGCACGAACGGCCCGGTGTTCGGTAGTTTTGTTTCAATGTGTTATACCCCAGATAGGAATCCCATGGAGCCCATTCGCATGAAACTGACTGTGTAAAGACTTTAGCTCCATGGCGATTAAACTGTATTCGTGTTGTCTGAGCGCCATTCGCTTAATAATGTGCGCTCAGACCTGAGCTATCTGGGGATATGTTAAATGTATGCTTTTAATGTTATGTGTCTCACATAGTGTATTTTAACAGTAATTCGTGTGTTAGTATCCCCACGTGCATAATGGCGATTTGCCTTTGTCTTGGGAGATAATTGGATTACTTCTAAATTATCTCCAAGGCAGAGGGGAGGAAGCCAGGATGCATTGTGGGAATATATTGTGACTGTGTGTCCTATTTGTCTACTTGTCTGTCCTTTGTTACAGTCTCCCATTTGGTCCCCTAGGGGAGTGTCCACCAGGTGGGAGACCTGCATAAATACTGGGCAGGTAGCCCTCATTAAACAGACCACTGCTTGACCCTCAACACGGAGCCTTGTCTCGTCTTCGTGAGTTTGGTGTTTTACAATAGCTGTGCCTGCATCTCTGGAAAGGGGGACGATCGCCCAAATGGTTTTTACCCCTTGTGTGCAAAACAGTCCGTTACATTCAGCATCAATGAACCTACCTCATTGACTCTGAATAAATCATCGATTAGCTGTGGTTTAGATTGAGGGAGGCAGCACAAATTGTTAAACTCAATTTAAAAAATGCATTCTGCCAATGGGATCCAAAATCTACACTCCTAGCAACCCGATTGGTTGTCCCTGCTCAGCCATGTCTTTCCCTGGAAGGGAATCATTTATAATACAGAAAGACCCATTTCCCACCCAGTAACTGGACGACACAGTCCTGGGGGTACAACAACAACTTTATTGTCCACACTCGGCTTTATACTTTTCCCCATGCAAGGGGTGGATCACACATAAAGACAATATCTCCTCCGAAGGTCCTCCCCCTCCCAGGGGTCCCCTTGTTCCCTGTTCCCGCCACTCCGTGTCTCCTCCAAGGGGCTCCTGACGGAAACGGAACTCCAGTCACTTTGTACCCTGTTCCCGCCACCCAGCCTCAGGATTTCCAACATCCAGCCTCTGTACCTGGGAGCCCTAGCACGGGAAAGCTTCCTGCCTTTTTGACTTGCAGCTACAGAAAGCCCGCCAAACCACCATTGTCCTCAAGGAGTGTCCCCACCAATCTCAGGGACCCCCCAAACTGGTGACTGCCACAAACAGCCTCCATTCACGGGGGCCCTGGGTGAAACTAGGCAAGGGAAGCATCTCCGTTCGGGACACGAATGCTCCCCCTGGCCGCCGCTCATCTATACGAACGGTGGCCACCCAGGGAAGCATTAATTAATTACTTCCCTTGTGGTTTCACACTTATATTGCAAGTTGCCAACGTTCTAATTGGTTGGTGTGAACACTCCAATGGGCACTGGGGAGGTCCTCATTCGGGAATCAACATTCTAAATGAGAAGTCGGGGTGGTCCACTTTCGGGAAGTGAATGCATTCCCTACGTGAAAGACCTCCCAAACGGGGAGCAGACACATGTATACGAAAATAACGGGGAAACACAGACTATAATACAGCAATTCGCGAACCAGGGGGAGTGCTCACGGATCACTTCTCCAGGGCTGTCTGTCTTGATAGTCTGTCGGCATTGCCGTTTTGCTTACCGGGTCTATAGTGGATGGTAAAGTAATATGGTTGTAGCGCCAAGCTCCATTGCAACAGCCTGGTATTGGCCCCAGAGACCCAGTTAATCCATACCAGCTGGTTCTGATAAGTGAGCAGGGTGAATTGCTGTCCATAGAGGTAGGGCTGTAGTTTTTTGAGTGCCCACATCACCGCCAGGCATTCTTCGATGGCGGCGTAGCTTACATCCCTGGGTAGTAACTTCCTGCTGAGGTAAGCCACGTGGTGTTAACCACCATTGTCGCTGTGACAGAACCATCTGTCTGCTTATTTCAGGTGGATTCGTCTATTTCTGCCCCCGTTCGTGTCAATGGCTGTTCTATAGCCCAGCCATACGAATGACTGTTTTTCCCAAACAAACCTACCGAACGGACAGCCACCCAAGAGAGAAGTGTGCTGCTGGTTAACCTATTGATCCCAATTAGAACGTTGTGGTTAACCGCAGACACTTCTCAATTAAACCGAATTCAGGGTGGTCGTCGTTCGTATGTCGACCACGAGGCAGCGGCCATTTTAAACCACGCGAAAGCCCAGCGGTGTTTGGCTCTATTTCTATGGAACTAAAAACGGACACTTTTTCTGCCGAACACCGCTGAAACAACGGAACGCCTGGCTGCCTCCACGAAAGCATACGAATACCGGCCGTTCGGGAGATTTGAAGCATACGAAAGGACTTAACCCAGATAGCCTTCCCATGGAGTCATTCGTATACCGAAAGACTGTAAGAACTTTGACTCCATGGCGATTGAACTATGTGTGTGGGATCTGAGCGCTATTCACTAATAATATGCACTCAGATCCAGGCTATCTGGGGATATGTGATACGAATGGGAAATGTTCGGTTATTTTACAGTTATGCATTTTTTTGTCTTTTATGATTTTATATTTAATGGCGACTGGCTTTGTCCTGGAGATAATTGAGTTACTTGTTAATTATCTCCAGGGCAGAGGGGAGGGAATCATAGTGCATTGTGGGTAAAAGCTGTGTCTATGTGTCTGGAATGTCCACATATCTGTGTCACTTAAGTCTCCCATTTGGTCCCCTAGGGGAGTGTCCACCAAGTGGGAGACCTGCATAAATATGGGCAGGTAGCCCACAGTAAAGCCAGATCCTGTTTGACCCTCAATGCGGAGCTTCTGTCTTGTTATTGGGGGGATTTATTCTTCATGTTTAGAGACTGCTGGATGGAAACGCAAGCCGTTTGGTGGATGTTATTGTTCGGCGGCTAGCAGCAGTTCGTGGATTTCCGTTCGGGAGTTTGGAGCCGTTCACGGATCACGGTCGGGAGATTGCCGCTTCCCCTGCATTTGGTTCGTGCACTACAGGTTAGGCGAACGGAGTTACTGATATTGCAGACGGGGAAGGTCCACTAAACAGCGGTTTTGCCTAAAGACACTGGAGGTGTCTTAACAGTCGCCGACCTGGCTGAGTACCGCTCCTAACCCAAAACATGGAGGCATCTGTATGAACAAGAAAACGTTTTCTGGAATTAGGAGCAGCCAGGACAGGGGCCTTTACCAAGGTGTCCATAAGGGCTTGGAATGCCCACTCACACCCTGGGGCTTTGTCTACCTGTCGGGGCACGGTCTTTCGGGTCAAGTCAGTGAGAGGCTTTGCTAGGGCGCTGTAGTTGGGGACATACTTCCTGTAATAACTGACAGTCCTTAGGAATAACCTGGACCTTAGTGCAGGGATGGAGCCAGTTAGCTACTGCCCCTATCTTGGCTGCCTCTGGCTTCTGGGACCCACACCTGACCCTGTGTCCTAGCTACTGCACCTCTGCCATCCCTAGATGGCACTTGCTGGGTTTCCTTCACCGCTTCAGGGATGCGGTAAGGCGTTTGGCGCATGGGAAGTTGTACCTCTGTACGCTCCTGTGGGCTCAGCCGATCTCCCAGAGTAACTTCGCCCAAATCCCCGGACAGTCTACTGTCCCCCAGTAGATCTGGGAGGGGCAGGTTGCCGAACTCTTCATTGGAAGGAGCACAAATGGCGGTTACTTCCTCTTAACGTTCTCGGTAGGGCTCCATCATGTTCACATGGATCATGCGTCGCCCTCCAGTCCCTGCGCAGGCGCCAATTATATACGTGGTGTCGCATCTTTGCTCCATCACTTTATATGGGCCCTGCCAGGAGGCCTGCAGCTTATTATGTCGGACCGGTTTCAAAATTAGAACCTTCTGCCCAACCTGAAAGCTGCGGTCCCTGGCGCCCCTATCATACCATGTGCGCTGGCACGTTTGAGCCGTCTGGAGGTTCTCTCGTACTGATTTTGTCAATGCTTCCAGACGCTCTCGAAACGCCAGCACATATGGTATGATGGGGGTACCGTCTGCGCTCCGGTCTCCCTCCCAGTGTTCCCTGATCAGGTCAAGGGGTCCTCTTACTCTCCGCCCAAACAGCAACTCAAATGGGGAGAACCCGGTCGATTCCTGCGGCACCTCCCTGTCTGCAAACAGGAGATGGGGCAGGAACCGTTCCCAGCCCCTATGGGTGTCTTCAAGGTCCCGTCGAACTTTTGCATAGCCCATTGGTCTGGGCTAATGATTGGTTTGATGTCACAAAATTTCCAGAGGCTTTGGGTGACTTCCGCAATGAACTGGGTGCCCTGATCCGAGATGATCTCTCTGGGTAATCCCATCCGAGTGAAAATCTGCATCAGGGCCTCAGCCATGGTCTCTGCATGTATATTAGTCAGGGCAATCGCCTCTGGATATCGGGTGGCATAATCCACTACCGTTAAAATATATTTTTTCCCAGAGGGGCTAGGTCTTTGCAGGGGTCCTATTAAATCTACCGCTACTCCGCTGAACGGTTCCTCGATTATGGTTAGCGGGTGCAATTTTGCCTTCCGCCGGTCCCCTCTCTTTCCTACTCTTTGACACGTGTCACACGTGTTGTATCTGCGGACTTCCTAACTAACTCCCGGCCAAAAGAAACTTTGGGTCAATTGGTGCTGGGTGCGACTGACCCCTAAATGTCCGGATAGCGGAATATCGTGTGCTACTGGAGTAATTCTGCTCGGTAACGTTGGGGTACCACTAGCTGCCTCACCACAATAGGGTCTGACCCTGCTACCTGTTTGTCAAACTCCCTATACAGCAACTGGTTATCCCATACAAATCTTTCGCCCTCCCCTCCCGGTTGGTCTGAGGTGACTTTGTCTCTATACACCTGTAAGGTGGGGTCAGTGACTACTTCGGCCGCAAATTCAGTAGGAGGGGCCCGGGGATACACTCTAAGGTAGGGTAAGGATCTCTTACCTGGACCTCCGGGAGTGTGTTGTAGTCCTGGGTGCGGGCCTGTTGTCGCATAACCACTGGGTGTGCCTCTCCTGTTGTTGGGGCCTGGGGTTCAAAGGCAGAAGTCAGTTTGCCCAGATCGTTCCCCAACAAAACCTCCGCCGGCAGTTGGGGCATCAACCCCACATCCACATTCCCAAACCCTGCTCCCCAATGCAAATGTACCCGAGCGGTGGGTAGCCGGTATACCGCTCCCCCGGCTACCCTGACAGCTACTGTTCTGCTGGTCTTTGCCTGCTCAGGTACCAAGTGACTTTTCACCAGTGTGATGGTGGCCCCTGAATCGCGAAGACCCTGGACTGCTTTCCCCTCCAAGTATACTGTCTGTCTATGATGTTGGCGGTTGTTTGCATTAGCTTGTACAGGATCTGCTTCATGTAACACTTCCCATTGTTCCACTGTGTTTATGGGAATTGCTGTGACATAGGGATTTGTTGCCTCTGCTTGGTAGCAGTGGGACGACTGTCGAGGTTGTGGAGGTAGCCCGGGCCTAATCCAGGTGGAGCGATCTTTTAGCTGTGGGCATTCTCGCTTATAATGTCCCCAGCGTTGGCAATGGTGGCACTGTACAGAGCTAGTTGGTTGAAGTTTCTGTTGTACACTAGCGGGTGGGTAAGGAGGTAGTTGTCGTGGTGGCGGTGTGATGTTGGGATATGGGCTGTTGCCCCCTATGGGTCAGATAACTGTCTTGCTGGGGGCCGGTTTTTGTTGTCTGCGGGCATCCAAGTACTCATCCGCCTTTTTAGCGGCTTCTGTGAGGGACGTCTGATTGCGGTCTCTCACCCATTCCTGTATATCATTCTGGATGCCCTCATAGAATTGCTCCAATAGCAACATTTGTAACAAGTCCTCCATGGACCGAGCTTTATTGGACTGTACCCATCCAAGAGCGGCCCGATGTAGCTTGCAGGCGCATTCCACACGAGAGTCCTTGTCATTTCTTTTTAACTCTCGAAATCTTCTCCGATATGCCTCTGGCGTGATGGCATACCGGGCCAGGATCACCTCTTTTACCCTGTGGTAATCCCGAATTTCCTCATCTGGTACAGTTCTATACGCCTCAACAGCCTTTCCAGTGAGCTTCCCTGCCAAAATAGGTACCCACTCCTCTGGACTAATATTATGCAGTGCACACAGTCTCTCAAAATCTTGGAGAAAAGCATCTATGTCCTCCTCTGCCTCTACATATGTTTTAAATGCTTGGTACGGTATTTTTGCCTTACCCTGTGTGATGGTAGTTGTGGTTGCATTCCTCTCCACATTTTGTAGTAGTACTTTGGTGTAGTATAAACTCCTGCACCTCTTTCATTGTCCTGGATATAATATCCGCCGTTGGATTCTCTCCATAAAAGGACAGCCTAAACTGCAGCTGTCTCTGGAACTCCTCTTGTTCAGATCCATCTGCTGAACTCTGCTGCTCAGGGATTACCCTGTCCTCAATCTGGTATTCTGCCATCACCTCTGCAATGAGGGTTGCTTTTCTTTTGTTGCTTGCTGCAATACCTTTTTCCTTCTAGGAGGTCTTTTAGCGTGGATCTTTTCAGGTTCGCATAATCACTCTCCATCCGTATTCCATTAGTCCTTGTTCCCTTGTGAGTCTGGATCCCAGCGCTACCAACCAATGTAGCGGAGAGCTAGTATGGCATAGCCTATCTCCACTTTAGATCCCAGTAAGGCTCAGGAACAAGTATAATAAATCCACAGAGTAATAATTCCAGCAGGCAAAAAGTCTCCAACAATATCCAAACGCAATCCCAATGACTGGACGACACGCAGCATCAGGAGCAGAACTAAAGATTTATTCACAGCAGCTCCTTATAAAGGATTCTCCCGTGCAAGGGAGGGATTTACAGTAATTAAAACAGTAACCAATGATACAGAGGTTCCCTCCCCTACTTTCCCTCCCCTCAGAGTGACACTTAATCCACTTAATCCTGGCACCTTTTCCCCTGTTTCTTGGATGTACCCCAAAACCGTGGGGTACCAGGACCTAAGTGGCATCCCCTGGTAGCTCTGGTCTGGGTGACCAACATACTCAAAATTCACCCAGATCAGACCAGGGGTTCGGGAGTTAATTGAACTCACCGAACGAGGAGTCGATTAGCCCCTCCGTTCGTGAGCTCTGGAGGTCTCAGCGGTGTTCGCGCAATCGAGTGTCCGATTTGGGTTCCAGACACTCGACGACCAAACACCGCTGAGAGTTCGTGCGTAAGATGGCCGCTGCCACGTGTTCGTCTACTGAATGGCGGCCACCCAGATACAGCAATAAAACCTCAATTAGCTGCGGTTAAAAAGGGAATAAGGGTTTAACTAGGGACACACTTCGTGTCTAAGGTGGTCTATGCATTGGTAGTTTCCATTCGTATAACTATGAACGAAACTACCAAACTAACATACGAACTTAGATACAATTTTCAATGTACATTCAGTTAAAACAGGCGAACAGTCTTTTAACATATAATTCTGGCGGACAGTCACAGGCCATCCGCTACAGAGGGTATCCTTGACCTGCCACCCAACCTCCTACAGCTACCCCTACCGCGTCCCCAGCAACCCCATTCCAGCCAGCCACTGGGGGACACACTCCACCCTCTCGATACAATGGCCGAGCTAACATCCAGTGCCATAACTGCAAGCAATGGGGCCACATGGCGAGAGAGTGTACACAGAACCGGAGCCGTCAAGCATGGAGCCAAGTACGACCGAACCCAGCACCACGAGCAGCCGCACACCACTACCAAGCAGAGCCAGCAACCCAGGAAATATTGTTCAATCACACAGAAGAGCCCCTGGGAATACTACATGATGTGATGTCTGTGCAAGTCACTGACCACAGGCAACACCATCGCCAGATAGTAACCTTGGAGGGGAAAGAAGTCCAGGGGCTCAGAGATTCGGGGGCGACTGACTCTGGTAGCACCTCATTTGGTTCCGGGCTCGGCGCACACCGGCAGATCTGTGGCAGTACGAGTAGCAGGGGGAGCAGTATCCCAGTTCAATGGGACCTTAAAGCAGATGCTCTGTACGTTTGGAGAGGCCCATAAGGACTGGGAGCGATTCCTTCCCCATCTGCTGTTCGCATACAGAGAGGTACCCCAAGAGTCTACCGGGTTTTCCCCCTTCAAATTACTATTTGGGAGACGGGTGCAAGGACCCCTAGATTTAATTAGAGAGAATTGGGAAGGGGAAAGCAGTGCACATTGTACCAAATGTGCTGGAGTTCAGAGACTGACGTTGGCGTTGTTGGGCCGGCTGGAGGTTTCCCCGTACGGTCTGGGTTAGTGCCTCCAGGCGGCCCAACAACGCCAGCGCCGATGGTATGATAGGGGAGCCAGGGACCGCAGCTTTCAGATAGGACAGAAAGTTTTGATTTTAAAACCGGTTCGCAATGACAAGCTGCAGGCCGTCTGGCAGGGCCCATACCAGGTGGTGGAACAGAGATGTGACACCACCTATGTAATCTGCCCCTGCTCAGGGGCAGGCAAGCGATGCATGCTCCACGTGAATATGTTCAAACCCTACCATGAGAGGATAGAGGACGTGACAGCTATATGCACCTCAGCCTCTGAAGATCAGGAGAATCTTCCGCTACCTGATTTACTAGAGAGAGAAGATCCGGCAGAGCCCTCCACGGGTGTTCAGCTGGAGAAGCGGCTAAGCCCGCAGGAGCGTGCCCAGGTACAAGAATTAATCGCGGCTAAGGGAGCCACGTTCTTCAGTTTACCAGGGTACACCCCGCTAGCCACTCACTGAGTAGAGACCCCAGGACAGCTACCTATGCGGCAAACCCCATATCGTATCCCGGAAGCAGTCCGGGAACATATGCAGAAGGAAATTGAGGAGATGTTGCAGCTAGGGGTTATTGAACATTTCGATAGCCCCTGGGCATCGCCGGTAGTGCTGGTACCCAAGAAGGATGGTACAACACGATTCTGTGTTGACTACCGGATGCTAAATGACAAAACAGTGTCTGATGCCTACCCGATGCCCCGGATAGACGAGCTGCTAGATAAGATGGCACAAGGCCAGTATCTCACTACGATCGACTTATGCAAAGGGTACTGGCAGATTCCTTTAGCTGAAGACACCATCCCCAAGTCAGCGTTTGTCACCCCGTTTGGCCAGTACCAGTTTCGAGTCATGCCATTCGGGATGAAAAACGCTCCGGCTACCTTTCAAAGGATGGCAGATAGGCTACTGGACGGGTTCCAAGAGTATGCATGTGCATACCTGGACGATATGGCCATATACAGCCAGACGTGGTCAGACCAGCTACGACATATTGGAGCGGTCATTGACCGTATTGGAGAGGCAGGCTTGACGCTAAAACCCAGCAAGTGTCATATAGGGATGGCAGAGGTGCAATACCTGGGGCACAGAGTAGGGAGTGGACAGCAAAAACCGGAACCTGCCATAATAGAGGCGGTAGCTAAGTGGCCTACCCCCATGACAAAAACCCAAGTGTTAGCCTTCCTGAGTACCGCAGGGTACTACCGAAAGTTCGTAACCAATTACAGTGCCCTGGCCAAACCCCTGACTGACTTGACCCGCAAAAATCTTCCTCCACAGGTCATCTGGGCCCCAGAGTGTGATCAGGCATTTCAACAACTCAAGACTGCTTTAACCAATGCACCTGTACTTGTTGCTCCTGATCCAACTAAACGATTTCTTGTCCACACAGATGCTTCAATGATTGGATTGGGAGCAGTGCTGAGCCAAGTTGGAGCAGATGGCAGAGAACATCCCGTAGCTTACTTAAGCCGAAAGTTATTGCCCCGTGAAGTAAGCTACGCCCTCATTGAGAAAGAATGCCTGGCCGTGGTGTGGGCCCTCAAAAAGCTACAGCCTTATTTGTATGGACAACCTTTCTCCTTACTCACAGATCACAACCCGTTGGTGTGGCTGAACCGTGTGGCTGGGGACAATGCCAGGCTGCTACGCTGGAGTTTGGCACTGCAGCCTTTTGACTTTACTATTCCATTCAGGGAAGCTAAATGGTAACACCGACGGGTTATCCAGACAAAACTGAACTTGAAAAGTGATCTGTGAGTACTCCTCCGGACATCCCCAAGCCGATCCGTTGGGATCAGACTGTATATGCCGGCTTGGTTCTGGGGGAGCATTGTGGCAAACCTAGCCACTTTAGGTTGCACTGTTCAAAATCTGAAGGTTGTCTGACAAAAGCGGTTTTTATTCTGTGTATATATGTATTCGGGTATTGCTGTAATTGAGATCATTCATATGCTAACAGCCGAAAGCCGCTAGCAGTCATATGGTAGTTTCACGAACAGTGACTTTACTCACTGTTCGTGAAATGAATAAAGTACCGAATGGGAGCCCACACACATAGGGTCGTGTGGCTCCCATTAACCGATTGCAACAGTGTAGCAATTGGCGGTTAATTACTTTCCCGGGTGGCCGTCGTTCGGCTACTGACCACGCGGCAATCGGCCATTTTGGATCCTTTGTTAGCCCAGCGGTGTTTGGTCGTCGAGTGCCTGGAACCAAAATCGGCTACTCGACGGTGCGAACACCGCTGGACTTCCAGGCCGTTCGGGAGCACCAGTCCTTCGGTATTTTATTCCCCATTATATATTCGGTACTTTTTAGAAGAATGTATAGTAAAGTATGTTTCGTGCGGCGTTCGGTTATTTATGCTGGGATCCGAGCAGTACTTTCACAAAGTGTGCGCTCAGACCCCAGCTATCTACCGAACGGTCATTCGGTATAATCCTATGTATAATATTAAAGTTATGCATTTTTATGTAAAAAGTCAGTTCTGCTCTACGGAGGGATAATCCACTTAACAGGATATTGTATTGGGAGTAACCTGTAAAGGATTCTCCTATACTCCCCTGTGTTCTTTCGGTTATATCCTCTCCCTGCTGTTTGACTAATTTTAGATGTTTCGTTTAACTATGTGTTCGGGAAAATGTATTCGTCCTGCCGAACGGAGACCACCCTGGGTAGAAATTAGAACTTGGAACATCGAGTAATAATCACACGAAACCGCAACTTAAGTGAATGCTTCTAGGTGGCCGCCATTCGGCATACGAACACGTGGCGAGAACAAAGGATGGCGGCCATCTTAAATCTCCTGAATGCAGTCAGCGGGACTTATGCGTGAATTTCCTGGAACGGTTTTCGGCATCGCAAACACGCGAACGGCCGGTCAGTATGGAAGTCCCGACTGACTACTTTCCACTCAATGTATCAAACCGGCATTCGGGAGTTTGAATCTACCGAACAAGGGGAGCATTCGCATGTAACAAGCTGCAACATACGTACGGTAGTTTTCGTGTATTTAGGCGCGAACGGAGACCGGCTCTTGCTGCTGATTTCATGGAACTCTGAATTGGATACCACCACATGCCGAGCCGGTCAAACTTCCACACGATGCGACACGGAAACTACCAAACGGATTTTCGTGAAATTTGGAACTGTAACTCCTAGTAACCTCAGCCACCCATCGGATTGTTATATTTGTATGTTAGGCAGAAAGTACTTTTCTAAAAATGTTAAAAAAAATTATATTTCTGGCCAGCAGATAATTGAGTTTAGTATGTTGCTGAAACTCAATTGTCTAGCCTGGCTCAGAGGAGGAGTCTGCTATTGTATACATTGAATGCCTGTTGCTTCCAGTAAATCAGTCTTGTTCCAGCATTAAGCTTTGGCTCATGTTTGGATTATTTGGCGATACCAGCGATATTTATTCCTGTGGATTACTTGGTGATTTTCTTTTATGGGAATAAGGGAATGCTTGATGGTGATACAGTTTACTACCATCACAACTGGCACAGCGGCGGGATTTTCCTTTTTTCCTGCACCACGAATCCAAGCAGACACTGGGGACAGTGAATGGAAGGCTGGTATACACTGCTTAAACGAAACACGTTAAAGGAACTGTTGGAAGTTCATGGAAGGATTGCTAGCAACAAAACCAAGCGGGTGATTATTGCCGAGTTAATGGAGCTAGACCAGGAGAACTTGGTTGCAGCAACACCAACTATTCAGGAGATGGAGACACCGGCGATTCGGGAGAATGAATCGCCAGCCAACAGGGAGATTTGGGAGAGATTAGCATGGTTCGGTCCGAACTCAACAGCTGACATTGTGCTACAGGCAATGAACATAGTAGCAGAAGAGGCGAAACAGAAGAGGGAAATAGAGCTGCAAATGAACCTGGCTGAAACCCAGCGGGCAGCAGCAAGCTCCCCAAGCAGAGAGCACAGCACAGCAGAGACAAGGAAGATTCCTTTCAGTGCCTTTCAAGCCTTTAATGAGAAGGACTGCGAGATTGATAGCTACCTAGCGGATTTCGAGCGACAGTGTAACCTACACAGAGTGGCTACGGACGAATGGGTTGCAATATTGGCGGGGAAATTGTCAGGCAAAGCTGCCGATGATTTCCGGGCCGTACCAGAACAGGAGTTCCACACCTATGCAAGGGTTAAAGAGGCACTCCTGGCTCGGGACGCAGTGACCCCGGAGACATACCGACAAAAATTCAGAGACTTACGCAAAACGGACAAGGATTCCTATGCAGAATGGGCCTGCCAGTTACAACTGTCTGCATCGAATTGGGTTAACAGTAGCCAAGCCACCACCGCGGATGACATCCTACAATTAATACTCCTGGAACAGTTCTATGACCACAACAGACTGGGTGAGAGACCGCAGACCCCTATCCTTACCGGAAGCTGCCAAGTTAGCGGATAAGTACACGGATACTCGCAAGACCACGCAGGTCACCCCACCGGTCCAACCTCTTCGACCAGTGGTACCGTCAAACCCACCAGTGACCAGGTATCAACCCCCCAGCCGACCGGTAGCTTCCAACCCTGGCTACCCACGGCAGCCTGGCAATGAACCCCATTGCTTCCGATGCAAACAATTGGGCCATCTTCGGAACAATTGCCCACTGGATGCCCCCAGGTCCGATTGGACTCGCCCTGGTCTCCATCAACCCATAGCAGCAACCCACTGTGTGGATTACCCGGCACCCTCTGCCTGGGACGCCAAGGAGCTGAGTCGTGAAGAACCCTTGGGCACTCTGTATGAAGCACTCCTAGTCCAATCCACCATAAGGAACAATCGAAAACACCATTGTCAGCTGGTCATGGTCAACGGAAAGACCGCACGGGCCTGAGAGACAGTGGTGCGACCATCACCCTAGTGCAACGACACCTTATTAATAATTCGGAAAGACCAGGGAAATCTTTTGCTGTGATAGTGGCAGGGGCGGGGCAGTTTATTGGATTCCTACTGCGCAAGTGCACCTTGATTGGGGTGCTGGAGCTGGCAATGTCCAAGTGGGAGTGATGAAGGAATTACCCTCCGAAGTAGTGTTGGGCAATGACATCGGTCCCTTAACTTCTGCCTTTGCCTCAACACCTCCTCACGAGGCTCAAGCAGTGACCACCAGGGCCCAAAGTCGTGCCGCTATCCACCTCTTACGGAGACCCAGGTAAGCTAACCTGACCCCAGGTAGCACCCCTTCCCTGGGATACACTGGAGGACTTTGTGAGGGAAGTAGTCGGAGACCCCTCACTCAGAAAGTACCGGGAAAAAGCTAAGGGGAGACACAGAGGGTTAGAAAAGGAACAGTTCATCTGGGAGAAGGGCCGTTTATACAGGCTCACCGAGACCCGGGTCAACGCACCTGGGCCCCGGCAAAAACGCCAACTGGTACTTCCACAGGTACTGGTACTACTGGCAGGAGTTATTGAGGATTGGGCACGATGTCCCATTAGCAGGACACATGGGAATACGCAGGACATTATATCGGGTAACCCAGAACTTCTTTTGGCCTGGGGTATCAGACGACGTCCGGGCGTATTGCCAGACGTGCGAAGTATGTCAAAAAATAGGTAAGAAGGGGGACCACCCGAAAGCCAAACTGGTTTCTAGGCCCATAATAGAGGAACCGTTCACGAGAGTAGCCGTAGATCTTGTAGGACACCGGGCCCAGCCTAGCCGCTCCGGTAAGCGCTATATCCTTACTGTGGTGTATTTCCGCCACACGTTACCCCGAAGCTGTAGCCCTTTCGAATATCCAGGCTGAGGCGGTGGCTGATGCCCTGGTCAAGATTTTCTCCAGAGTGGGATTTCCCAAAGAGATCTTATCCCACCAGGGTACACAGTTCACGGCTGAGGTGACCCAACAGATATGGAAAGTCTGCAGAGTTAAATCCCTGACCAGCTCCCCATACCACCCCCAGACCAATGGGCTGTGTGAACGCTTCAACGGGACGCTGAAGCAAATGCTGAAGTCGATCACAGGTGCCTATAAAGATTGGGAGCGATTCCTGCCACACCTCCTCTTTGCATAGCAGGATGTGCCCCAGGAATCAACCAGGTTCTCACCCTTCGAACTGCTAAATGGGAGGCCGGTGAGAGGACCCCTAGATCTTATTAATGACCACTGGGAAGGGCAGATCGATATAGAGGAGACCCCGATTGTACCCTACGTGCTGGAGCTGCGGGACCGCATGGAGGAATTGGCACAGACTGTGCAGGAAAATCTCCAGGCGGCCCAGCAGCACCAGAAAGTGTGGTACGACCGACGGGCTAGGTACCGGAGCTTTCAGATCGGGCAAAAAGTCATGGTGCTAAGACCAGTCCGAACTGGTACAAGACAAATGGGGTGTCAAATGTCAACTTGGGGAGAACATCGGCTGCCAGGGGAATCTGACAGTACCCCTTGCACATGTCTATAGTAGTGAGGTACCGTCCCCGAGCCATCCTATCTAGCAGCTCATCTATATGGGGCATGGGGAACGCATCTGAGACAGTCTTGTCATTGAGCCTCCTGTAGTCCACACAGACGCTGGTAGTCCCATCTCTTTTTGAGACCAGCACAACTGGGGAGACTCAAGAACTCTGGGACGGTACGATGACCCCTAGCCAGAGCATCTCTTGGATCTCCTGCAGCATGTTCCCCCGCACAGCATCTGGTACCCTGTAGGGTTTTGCCGCGGGGCTGTTGGTCGGGAATCTCTGCCCGGTGGGTGGCTAGTGGGGTATATCCGGGCAGGTTGGAGAATGTCTCCTTCCTTTGCCGACAGCATTTTCTGTGCCTGTCGGCGTTCTCCTTCCGTTAGCTGGTCCCCTAAGTGGACCTCGTCTATGGACCCTGCCTGACCCATCTCTTCCAGGATTATCATAATCTATCTATGGCTGCTACATCCTCAGTCCGCTCGTGGTAGCATGTTCATATTGACATGCAACAGGCGTCAGACTCCGGTACCCGAACACGGGCCGATCACATAGGTATTGTCACATTTCTGTTCCACCACCCGGTATGGGCCCTGCCAGGCAGCCTGTAGTCTATCATGTCGGACAGGTTTCAGAATCATAACCTTCTGCCTGACTTGAAAGCTCCTGACGCCTCGATTATACCATGTGCGTTGGCGCCTCTGGGCCGCCTGGAGGTTCTCCTGCACCAGATGGGTGAATTCCTGCAGCCAGTCCCTAAACTCCAACAAATATGTGATGATGGGGGTCCCTTCCTGATCCCCAGCCACCTCCCAGTGTTTTTGGACAAGGTCTAGAGGGCCCCTCACTCTTCGCTCGAACGGGGAGTGTGACGAACTGAACCTTGTCACGGGTTCTTGGAGGGGCCTGCTGGCCAGCCTCTTGCCTCAGGACTATGAGTCCTGCAATATACCTTGCCCAATGCACTTTAAAAGGTTCTGTTTATATGAAGTATGTACTTTTGTACTCCAGACTGATCTGGGTGATTTCTACATATGTTGGTCACCCAGATCAGGGCTATCAGGAAATGTAACATTTGTGGGGTTTTATGTATTTTTAGTGTACTTTTTGGGTGTTCTAAAACGTATGTTTTTTCTGTGCTTGGAGATAATTGGATTGGAATTAGTACAGTTACTTATCCAATTATCTCCCAGGCAGAGGGGAGGGATTGTGTGCTGTGTGTGGGAGTGTTGTGCCTTGTAACCTTATTGTTATTGGTCTGTGAGGATGCAAATCAGTCTACCATCAGGTCCATGTGGGCGTACCACAAGGATTTTTGGGTACATAGGCGAAGATGCATTCCCCCCCCCCAAAAGAAAAAAAAAAAAAACTTCTTCACCTATGTGCCTCTTAACCAGCCCCTCTCTGTCCATTAGTGGTCCCCTTCCTTCCCTGTCCCTTAGTGTTCTTCTCCCCTCCCCCCTCTTTTCCCTGTCCCTTGGTGTTTCTCTCCCATTCCCTCCCTGTCCCTTGGTGCTCCCCCCACCTCTTTAGTGTCTCCTACCTCTATTGTTGCATTGCCAAGCAGAGCAGATCCTCTACAGGAGGACTGTCAGTCTGGCCAGGTACAGGAAACAAAAGCTCCTGTACCACGCTCCGCTCTGCAACGCTACACTCCGTTGTATATACACACTGACAGTCAAAAACTCAATGACAAACACACAGACGTTACTGACAGACACAGACTAACTGATCTGACACACTCATTCATTGACACACACACACACACACACACACTGACAGACACACACTGATTGACACTCATTGACAGACACACTGATAGTCACACACAGACTCAATGACAAACATACATTCACTGATGTGACAGACACACTCATCCACTCACATGCACACACACTCATACAATCACTCACAGACACACACTCACACACACACACATCACATACATTCACTAATTATTATTTGTATAAATAAGCATTTTCCACCCAGTCTCCCTGTAGCGGATGGCATTGGGCTGTCCTCAGAATTATAGGTATTCGTATGTGTTTGGTTAATTTTTGCCAAATGTATGTAAAGTGTATGCAGCATTCGACTGATTGTTCGGTAAAATCACTCCAGTTATTATGCGAGTGAAACTACAGAACAATCAGACCACCCCAGGAATAAGTGTGCCTCCAATTACTGTTCGCAACAATGTTGCAAACGGGTAATTGGCAATCAGTGCAGTGTGTGCTTTGTCCTCTGGGTGGCCGCCATTCGGGACACGAACACGTGGCGGCGGCCATCTTAAACTCCCGAACAGCTGTGTTTTGCCATCGAGTGTCTGGAGCCCAAATCGGACACTCGATTAGGCAAACACAGCTGAGACCTCCACACTGCCGTCAATTCGAGTAGGAACTACCGAACGGCTCCCCGTTTGGTAGAAAGAACCCCACGAACAAGGGGGTTTATCCGAATCCTCCCCAGTCTCCATAACCCAAACCGTTCGTGTATTTTATTCCCTTTTTCTGTGACCGACTGCAAGGCCAAAATGTATGGAACCCCTTTCGGCTGTTAACTCCAGCGCGGTCAGTCTTTTTATTACCCCTGGTCCGATCTTTTTGAATATGTTTCTCACCGAGATCAGGGCTACCAGGGGATGTAATATTTAAAGGGGTACCCCTATGTTTAGGGGTACATCCAGAAAACCAGGGGAACTGTGTAATGCATAATGGGATTATGAGTCATACTAAGGGGAGGGGGATGTGTGGGTGGCAACTCATGTATGATTGGTGTATTGTATAATTACTGTAAATCCCTCCCTTGCATTGGAGAAAGCTTTAAAAGAAGGTTGAGTGATTAAAAGTTCAGTTCTGCTCCTGATGCTGTGTGTTGTCCAGTCATTGTGATTGATATTGGGATATTATTGGATTGTCTTGCCTGCTGGAATTATTGCCTTATGGATTTTTAATATTTGTTCCTGAGCCTCACTGGGATCTTGAGTGGAGATAACCTGTGGAATATCAGCTCTCTGCTACACTCCCTAACTGGAGAGCTGGTGTGGATAATGGATCTGTCCCTAGGGCTGCTGGGAGGCATGCGGCAATGGTATGATCAGAGGCGGCGAGGGAGCTCTAATTTCCCCGCTCTGCTCCCTTGCGGGCTGTCTACTGATGCTGGGAGCCAGAATATGACATCAGCAAACGGCGCGCAAGGGAGCAGAGCGGGGAGATTAGAGCTCCCTCGCCGCCTCTGATCATACCACTGCCACACGCCGTGCCGGGGGTCTAAATGGTGGCCTGCAGAGTATATTGGGGCCGAATTGAGCTGAGCAGGTGTTGGTAATTGTGACGGAGTTCCCTGTACCCCTGGCTGGGTACCTCCGCCAAGGACTGCTTCCTAGCTGGAACTGGGGACAAACCGCAGCACTTCTGCCCACAGTCGCCGTGGCTTGACTGGCGCCCTGGAACCGTTCCTTCCTGGAGCCGAATGAGGAATTCGCTCTAGACACCCCCAGGCACTGGACGACACTTAGTCCTGGGAGCTCATGGCCTTACAAGGACTTTCCCGGTTGAATCCCCTGCAAGCTGAAACAGCAGACACAGGGATTAATACTTCCTTCCCTCCAATAACAGGACGATGCACAGTTTTGGAGTGCAAGCTGGAATGCTTTAATGGCAGCCACAACTGGCCTTATATGAATGTCCCCATGCAAGGGGCACTCCCCTCTGGATCTTGTGGGGGACTGCAGCACAAAGTCACAAACCAATGATAATAAGGTTACACGGCACGACACTCCCACACAATTCCTCCCCTCTGCCTGGGAGATAATTGAGTCAGATACTGTATGAAACCAATTATCTCCAGGCATAAAAAACAGACATTTCTATCAAGTTCCAAAAGTACCCCAAAACACATAATATCCCCACAAATATTACATCCCCCGATAGCCCTGATATGGGTGACCAACATATCCCAAAACCACCCAGATCAGTTCAGGGATTCAGGAATTCTATGGAAGTTATTTATTTGACCGACCGCAGGCATCATCTCATGCCCAAAACAGTTCCAAAGAATCAGGGTTTGCGGACGGTCTAGTTCGGAAGTTTGGAAACAAACAAACTACCGAACAGAGTCAATAGTCTTACCCTGGAGCTTGTTCCCCTCATCCAAATGAATGATTTCACCGAACAGTGCCCTTCTAAGTTGTATAGAAACTAACGCAAGCGATGATGGAAGTCCAGTGGTGTTCGAGAGTTCGAAGTGCTGCTGCTGTTCGAAGTATGGCCATATAAATCCAAAAAGGCACGAACTCTAATTTCACCAAGTCCATAGTCTGTGGGCAGCAGGCTGGCACAGCCACAGTTCCTTCCATACCAGTCTCTCGTGCTTCGTCACCCACTCATCCAGGGGCTGCTCTCCCAGGAGAGGCATCCGCAGCGCCACTCTTACCTGTAACTGCTGCTCCTCACTGGGAAGGCTCTCATCATGCCGACAAAGCTCCTTTCTAGTTACATCTCTGTAGTCCAGTATGTTCTCGTCTGATACTGGCCCATCCCGTTGGGCCAGGTGGTGGTGCAACCTCCAGCGAAACTCCTCATCGTATAGGAACGCTGTCCGGGAGCTAGCTGGTTCCATACTGCTACAGACAGGGACGCTGTATGGGTACTAGCGTTGTCCTCAATTATAAATCCAGAACAATACCTGTGTCTCCAGGATGCTTCTATACTCACTAGGAAGCCATCCCACTGCTCCCACCAGATATGGCGGACCGCCTGGCACCGCGACTGAGTGCCTCTGGCTATCGCTGGAATCAAGACGCACCCTTCATCTTTCCAGCCTTGTGCATAAGAGCATTTCTGGGAAGCTCCCACTCTACCTGAGTAGAATGCTCTCCCCAGCTGTTCCCACCTTCTATAACCTCCGATCCAGTACTAGCATGATATTTAGCATACCGCAATACAAAAATAAAGTGACTCGATCCTACAGAGCACCGCAATTATGGAATAACCTCAGGGACACAGTCAAATCATCATTCAATCTAAAATCTTTTAAGAGATCTATGGCAATATATCTCCGCACAGAATGCACCTGTCATTGAATATATTTATGACCTGTTATGTATTTGTAACGGACCGTTTTGCACAAAAGGGGTAAAAACCGTTTAGGTGATCGTCCCCCTTTCCAGAGATGCAGGCACAGCTACTGCAGAACACCAAACACACGAACCGCCAATAAGTGAATGCTCCAAACTCCCAAACGGCATCCAATATAGCACTCCAAACACACGAACAGGAACCATACGAATTGCTGCTACCAGACGAATAGGAAAAGCATCCAAGCGGCTTACACTCCTAGCAATCAGTCTCTATCAGCATTCAGAAAATCCCCCCCAAAGACGAGACAAGGCTCCGTGTTGAGAGTCAAGCAGTGGTCAGACAGAGCTGTGGGTTTATTGTGCTTATGTACACATTCTTACACATTAGTACCACTGTTAAGACACCTCCAGTGTCTTCAGGCAAAACCGCCGTTTAGTAGACCTTCCCCGTCTGCAGTAACAGTAACTCCGTTCGCTTAATCTGTAGTATACGAACCAAATGCAGGGGAAGCGGCAATCTCCCGACCGAGATCCGTGAACGGCTCCAAACTCCCGAACGGCAATACACGAACTGCTGCTAGCCGCCGAACAACAATATTCACCAAGCGGCTTCCGTTCCATCCAGCAGTCTCTAAACGTGAAGAAGAAATCCCCCCAATAACAAGACAGAAGCTCCGCATTGAGGGTCAAACAGGATCTGGCTTTACTGTGGGCTACCTGCCCGTATTTATGCAGGTCTCCCACTTGGTGGACACTCCCCTAGGGGACCAAATGGGAGACTTAAATGACAGACAGATATGGGGACATTCCAGACACACAGTTACAGATTTTACCCACAGTGCATTATGATTCCCTCCCCTCTGCCCTGGAGTTAATTACCAAGTAACTCAATTAACTCCAGGACAAAGCCAGTCGCCATCTTAAATATAAAATCATAAAAGACATAAAAATATATAACTTCACAAAAACCGAACATTTCCCATTCGTATCACATATCCCCAGATAGCCTGGATCTGAGTGCATATTATTAGCAAATAGCGCTCAGATCCCACACACATAGTTCAATCGCCATGGAGTCAAAGTTCTTACAGTCTTTCGATATACGAATGACTCCATGGGAAGGGTATCTGGGTTAAGTCTTTTCGTATGCTCCAAATCTCCCGAACGGCTGGTGTTCGTATGCTTTCGTGGAGGCAGCCAGGCGTTCCGTTGTTTCAGCGGTGTTCAGCAGAAAAAGTGTCAGTTTTTAGTTCCATAGAAATAGAGCCAAACACCGCTGGGCTTTCGCTTGGTTTAAAATGGCTGCTGCCTCGTGGTCGACATACGAACGACGACCACCCTGAATTCGGTTTAATTGAGAAGTGTCTGCGGTTAACCACAACGTTCTAGTTGGGATCAATAGCTTAACCAGCAGCACACTTCTCTCCTGGGTGGCCGTTCGTTCGGCAGGTTTGTTCGGGAAAAAGAGTAATTCGAATGGCTGGGCTATAGAAACCAGCCATTCATACGAACGGGAGACAAACAGACGAATGCAACTAAAATACAAGCAGACAGATGGTTCTGTCACAACCACCCACAGGGTTTTGGAACACAACCAATAAACACATACAATACACTCAGACACTCCCACACAAATTCCTCCCCTCTGCATGTGATTCAATTACCTTACACAATGGGTAATGTAATTTAGCACAAGCAGAAAAATAAAATTTTTCCACATTATTCATAACTTGAAAAGTATGCATCACATTCACATTACATTTTCAGAATCAGCATACTCCAAATACAAACATACGTCAAAATCATACAAATTGGTCCAGTGGTTCAAAAGATAGATCGTAGTCCTTTGTGACCAAAGGAAGCATGGCTTTTCTGCCCAAAACCAGTTCCACAGAGTCTTCTATCCTGGAGATAATTAGAAGTAATCCAATTATCTCCAAAGACAGAGGCAAAACTCCATTGAACACATGGCAGCAAAAAGACAGTAAAATACAATAAAATACACAAGGATACATTTATGACATAAAATACAGACATGCAACATATCCCCAGATAGCTCAGATCTGAGCGCACATTATTACTGAATGGCGCTCAGAGCACACACATACAGTTCAATTGCCATGGAGCCAAAGTCTTTCCCATAGTCTTTCATTATACGAATGGGCTCCATAGCCTAGCTATCTGGGGTATCACTGCTCAAACAGGGCAAGCACCAAATGACCCGGCTTTCTTGTCTTTGCAGGGGAAAAATCAAGCCTTTTAACATGGGGCCATAATCCAAAGGCAACAGGCGAGCAACCAGGCTTCTCCAATGCAATGTGGAGAGATTGGTCTCGTCACAGTATTAAATTTATATATGTGTGTATGTATGTATATATGGTTTGAATATTGAATTTTTTTAATATTGTATCCTACAATGCAATGTTTTGTGGACCCAGGACATACTTGAAAATGAGAGAAATATCAATGTATCCTTCCTGGTAAAATATTTTATAAATAAAAAAAATATCTGCCTACCAGTACCTTCCCAGAAACACAAAATCACAATACCCACCACCATCACCTTTCCAGAGAAACTAAATCCCAATACCCACTGTAGCGGAGAGCTAGTCCTAGCAGGAACTCTCCTCCGCTGGTACTCCAAGATATACTCAGGAACAAGTAGAATATTCCTAGGAAGCAGCTGTAATGGAGCTTCCCTGTACTCCGACCGAGTACCCTCCATTGATGGACGCTTCCTAGCTTGCGCCGAGGACCATAAGCACCGCACCGGACACCACAACCACCGCAGACTCCACAATCGCCATAGCTTAACTGGAGCCTCGCCGTCTTCTGTCCACCCTGGATCAGCTTCTGTTCTCCAGGACCGTGTGGGGAAGACCTCTCCTCCAGGAGAGTGTAACAGGAACAGCTCTTAAAAGAGCTAAGTGATTAAAAGCTCAAGGGAGTATGCAGAGCATAGCAATCCCCAGCTCCCTCCAATAACGAGACAAGGCTACGTTTAGAGACCTTTATTTCCCTTGGGACCAGCCCATAGGGTCACCACATTAACATTGCTGTGAAAACTCAATAAAATCACAAACAGTCAAACCATAGCAGGCAACACACAGTGACTTATCAGAACACAATGGCACATTTTTAAAGGGGTGGGGGAGACAATATCTCACGTGCCTGCAGAATTAGCAATATGCAAATCTACCCGAATATGCAAATGAACCAATCTTGCTATTCAGGTAGTGCATATTGCTGTTGCTACCAATAGAGGGCACTAGACAAGCTCCATACCACTTCAGCTGGAAGGCTATTCCATGCATCCACTACCCTCTCCCCATTTGGGGTACATCCAGACTTTGGGGAAAATGTGTTCCGTTTTAATTGTGTTAATGGATTATCTGAGGGGAGGAGATGTACAGTATGTATATTGTCAGGATTGGTTGTATTGTTAATTATGGGGGAGTCTCCCTTGCATGGGCAGAATCCCATAAAAAGAGTGTCTATCAATAAATCTTTAGTTCATCCTGGCACCCTTCTTCTGACTACGACTGATGTTTGGGAATTCGTGTGTTTTACTGAGGGAATTATCCAGTGACACTATTGGAACTACACTAGGATTCGTCTACCATAACTACCGAACGGAGGGCTATATTCACTGGGCTCTAGTGGTTCGGGAGGAAACTACCGATTGAGGTTTAAATGTACTTGGTTTCCTTACATCCCCCCTGTCTTATCTTTCCTCCAAGCTATACATGTTAAGATCCTTTAACCTTTCCTGGTAAGTTTTATCCCGCAATCCATGAACCAGTTTAGTAGCCCTTCTCTGAACTCTCTCTAAGGTATTAATATCCTTCTGAAGATACGGTCTCCAGTACTGCGTACAATACTCCAAGTGAGGTCTCACCAGTGTTCTGTACAATGGCATGAACACTTCCCTCTTTCTACTGCTAATACCTCTCCCTATACAACCAAGCATTCTGCTAGCATTTCCTGCTGCTCTATTACATTGTCTGCCTACCTTTAAGTCATCAGAAATAATCACCCCTAAATCCCTTTCCTCAGATGTTGAGGAACATATTCTGTACTCTTATCAAATATTCTGTACTCTGCCCTTGGGTTTTTACGTCCAAGATGCATTATCTTGCACTTATCCATATTAAATGTCAGTTGCCAAAATTTTGACCATCTTTCTAGTTTACCTAAATCACTTGCCATTTGGCTTATCCCTCCTGGAACATCATCCCTGTTACATATCTTAGTATCATCGGCAAAAAGACATACCTTACCATCAAGACCTTCTGCAATATCTGTAGTAAAAACATTAAAGAGAATGGGTCCAAGTACAGATCCCCGAGGTACCCCACTGGTGACAAGTCCAAGCTTCGAATATATTCCATTAACTACAACCCTCTGTTGCCTGTCACTCAGCCACTGCCTTACCCATTCAACAATATTGGAATCCAAACTTAAAGATTGCAGTTTATTGATAAGCCTTCTATGTGCAACAGTGTCAAAAGCCTTACTGAAATCTAGGTAAGCAATGTCTACTGCACCACCCTGATCTATAATTTTAGTTACCCAATCAAAAAAATCAATAAGATTGGTTTGGCATGATCTCCCTGAAGTAAACCCATGTTGTCTCTGATCTTGAAATCCATGTGTTTTTAGATGTTCATCAATCCTATCCTTTAACATGGTTTCCATCACTTTCCCCACTACTGAAGTAAGGCTTACTGGCCTATAGTTGCCCGACTCCTCCCTATTACCTTTCTTGTAAATGGGCACAACATTCGCTAACTTCCAATCTTCTGGGACTACTCCTGTTAACAATGATTGGTTAAATAAATCTGTTAATGGTTTTGCTAGTACACCACTAAGCTATTTTAATAGTTTTGGGTGTTTTCCATCAGGTCCCATTGATTTGTCTTTACTTTTGACAGTTGAAATAGAACCTCTTCCTCTGTAAACTCACGTGTAATTAATGACTCATTTATCCTTTTTCTTAACCGAGGTCCCTTTCATCTGTAAATACCGAACAAAAATATTCATTGAGGCAGTCAGCTAGACCTTTATCTTCTTCTACATACCTTCCTTTTGTTTTTAATCTAACTAATCCTTGTTTTACTTTTCTTTTCTCATTTATGTATCTAAAAAATGTTTTGTCCCCCTTTTTTACTGACTGTGCTATTTTCTCTTCTGTGTGTGACTTGGAAGCTCTTATAACTTGCTTAGCCTCTTTCTGCCTAATCTTATAGATCATTTTGTCTTCCTCACTCTGGGTTTTTTTATAATTCCTAAATGCTAACTTTTTGTTTTTAACTATTTTGGCCACATCTGCAGAGTACCACAGTGGTTTCTTGAATTTTTTGCTTTTACTGACAAGCCTAATGCAATTTTCTGTTGCCTTCAGTAGTGCAACTCTTAAATCCCATTTCTCTTGGACTCCATTTAAATTGCTCCAGTCTGATAATGACTCCTCTACACATATTCTAATTTTAGAAAAAAGTCTCTTTTTCTAAAGTCTAAAACTTTTGTTTTTGTGTGGTGTGACTCAGTCATTGTTCTTATATTAAACCACACTGACTGACGATCACTGGATCCTAAACTTTCACCTACAGTAATATCTGATACAAAATCTCCATTTGTTAACACTAAATCTAGTATGGCCTCTTTACGAGTTGGCTCCTCAAAGACTTGTTTTAGAGACAATCCCAGTAGGGAGTTTAGAATATGTGTGCTCCTGGCACAAGCAGCTATTTTTGTTTTCCAATTCACATCAGGAAGATTAAAGTCACCCATGATTATAACTTCTTCCATCGTCATTTTAGCTATTTCCTCAACTAGTAGATTATCTAACTCCTCTATTTGTCCTGGGGACCTATAAATCACACCTACACGAGTTGCTGTGTGATTACCAAATTCTAACGTAACCCAAAACGGACTCTATGTTCGCCTCACTAACTTTTATTAGGCTAGATTTTATGCTATCCTTCACATACAGGGCCACCCCTCCCCCTTTCTTGCCTTCCCTGTCTTTTCTATATAAAAAAAAGAGTACCCTGGTATTGCTATGTCCCAGTCATTTTTCTCATTATACCATGTCTCAGTAACAGCGACTAAATCTACACTATCAGTTGCCATTATTGCTACAAGTTCATGGATCTTATTTCCTAAACTGCGAGCATTTGTAGACATGACTCTAAGCTTATCATTTTTTAACACACTTGATACAGGCACCTTCTGTCCTTGTTTTGGGGACAATTGGATTGATGTTTTATCACCCTTTTGCCCCTCCCCCCTCCTAGTTTAAATACATCCTAGCAAAACCTCTGAACTGCTCACTGAGAACATTTGTTCCCTTTTGAGAAAGATGCAAACCATCTTTTTTGTACAGGTTATTTCCATTCCAAACAGAGCTGCCATGAGAAATAAAGCCAAATCCTTGCTCCCGACACCATTCACCAAGCCACAAATTAAAGTCCCTAATACGCATCCGCCGGTTGTTCTGAGTGTTATGACAGTGTGGAAGCAACCTGCCTATATCATTGGCAAAAACACAAAAAACTTCCTTAACCTCTGAAACCTCATTGCAAGTCAAGTCATTTGTCCCTAGATGGACAAGTACTTCCAATTCCCCTTCCTGCTCTGCTCGCTTAACAATATTACAGATACATCTCCTGTCTCTGTGAGCAGTAGCGCCGGGAAGACACCTCACAAGACCACCATTGTCCATCTCCACACCTCTTATGATGGAATCCCACAACAACAACAACTGCTATCTATTAGGCCTCACCATAGTCTCCAAGCCTGTCTCCACAACACCACTAGCCTCAGTGCCTGAGCCTGTCTCCACAACACCACTAGCCTCAGTGCCTCTGTCCACAACACCACTAGCCTCAGTGCCTCTCTCCACAACACCATTACACTCTGAAAGTGCAGAAAATGAATTATGTAGAGCAACAGACTGTGCAATATGCCTCCACAACTCTAAGTCTACCAGATCCTACAGTAATCCATCTGCCATTCCTACAATACAATCTCCTGCCGTAAGATAGAGAGGTCCCCAGAAGGCTTGGCATGAAAGCCCAAGTTACCCGTTGCCACCTTTAAAGTAGGAGGCAGAAGAAGGCATCGAAGACTTCCAGCAGCATTTTGCCCCTGCCGACTGTGTCACTATCTGCCATGACCCTAACGGGGAGGGCAGCAGAGGTCTACCGAGATGTACCAACAGACCAGATCCGGTAGTACGAGTCGGTCAAAGAAGTCTTCCTAGCCCGGTATGCTGTAACCCCAGAGGCGTACTGCAGGACGTTCAGGGGAACCAAGAAAGGCGAGAAGGACTCCCATGCAGAGTGGGCATGCCGCATCATCCGTGCCACCCACAGTTGCATGGCCTTGTCAACAAGCCAAGTCCCCCGAAGAGATTCTCCAAGTGTTCATGCTTGAACACTTTTACAACAAGCTCCCCACAGAGGTGCAGGAATGGGTGAGAGACCAGCAGCCCAAGACCATGACCGAAGCAGCCAAACGGGCTCTCGAGTATGCTGATACTTGCCGGTCCCAACGCCCTGCTCCCTCTCCCAGCTACCAACCCCCCGTCCGACCTCTGCTACAACTCACCTCCACTACTGCAGCTCCCCTTTGTGGCTTCCTGGCCCGGTCACCCCCCCAGCGGGCATTCCCCTGGAATCAGCGCTGTTTTCAATGCAGCCAGCTCAGCCTCATCAAAACTGAACTGTCCCCAAAACTGGGGCCGACCACAGTGGGTCACCCCCGTCTTCCCTCCTGGCCCATGAGCAGCAGCCCTTTGCTACCACGATGACCCCACAGATTCCCCGAACCCCAACGAAGACGACTGGACCACCCTGCATAAGGCAAACCCTGTCCAGGCCACCCATGATAACCAGGACTGCCACAGCCAGTGCGGCTGAACGGGTGCAAGGTCCAGGGGCTCCGAGATACCGGAGCCACTCTCACTCTGGTGCGGCCCTAGCTTATCCCCGAAGAAGAAAGGACGGGGGTACTGTCGCCGTCCGGGTGGCCGGAGGGAATGTCCACTACCTACCCACTGCCCATGTTTGGGGCGCTGGAGCCCAGAGAGTAGAAGTGGGCCTCATGGATTGACTACCCACAGACGTGCTGCTCGGCAACGACCTGGGACATCTCGTCTCCACCTTTGTCTCCGTCCAGACCCTGGAAGAAGCCTACCCCATAATGACCCGGCAGCAAGCCTGCACCACCCAAGTCGGCTCACACTCTGAGGCTCAGGTAGGCACACATGCCCCTTTTAACCCCCCAAGTTCCCGTAGACGACCCCATAAATGAATCCCTACCGGGAGTGCTCCGAGGAGGTGACAGCCATTTGCGCACCCCCCTCCAAGGAGTTTGACAACCTTCCTCTCCCAGACCTGCTGTGGGACAGAATATTGCCCAGTGATATAGCCAAAGTTAAGTTGGGAGACCGGCTAAGTCCACAGGAGCGTAGCAAGGTACAGCAGGGAGAAGCAGGAGACCTTCTCCAATATGCCTGGCTACACTCCTCTGGCCACTCACTGGGTAAAGACCCCGGGTCAACTCCCACTGCGACAGACTCCCTACCGCATCCCTGAGGCGGTAAGGAAGAACATGCGCAAGGAGATCAATGAGATGCTCCAACTGGTTGTGATTGAGCCGGACAGCCCCTGAGCCTCCCCTGTAGTCCTCGTACCCAAGCGGGATGGCACGACCTGCTTCTGCGTGGACTACCGGAGGTTAAATGAAAAGACAGTGTCCGACGCCTATCCCATGCCCCGGATAGACGAGCTGCTGGACTGGATGGCCAAGGGCCAATACCTCACTACCTCTGATCTATGTAAGGGGTATTGGCAAATCCCCCTGGCCCCGGACGCCATCCCTAAGTCGGCGTTTGTCACCCCATTCGGCTTATACCAATTTAAGGTGATGCTGTTTGGGATGAAGAACGCTCCGGCTACGTTTCAGAGGATGGTGGCCTGTCTCCTAGAGGGGTGCCAAGACTATACCTGCGCATACCTCGACGATATTGCCATCTTCAGCAATACCTGGCAGGAGCACTTGGCCCACATAGGAGCGGTTCTAGACAGGATCCGGGAGGCAGGGTTAACCCTGAAGCCCACTAAGTGTAGTATAGGGATGGCTGAGGTTCAGTACCTCGGCCATAGGGTAGACTGTGGGAAGCAGAAGCCCGAGCCAGCGAAGGTAGAGACCGTAGCTCAGTGGCAAACTCCCAGGATTAACTATTAGCTTTTTTTAGGGACAGCAGGGTATTATAGAAAGTTTATCCCCAATTATAGCACCCTGGCCAAACCCCTTACCGACCTTTCCTGGAAAAACCTTCCCTGCCAAGTAACCTGGACCCCGGAGTGTGAGTAGACATTCCAACAATTGAAACATGTTCTTATAAATGCCCCTGTCTTGGCAGCTCCCGATCCAACTAAACGCTTTCTTGTTCACACAGACGCTTCTATGTTTGGATTGGGGGCAGTACTGAGCCAAGTCGGGGCTGATGGCGGAGAACATCCTGTGGCATACATCAGCAGAAAACTGTTACCTAGAGAAGTAAGCTACGCCGCCATCGAGAATGCCTGGTACATCTACTTGTATGGACAGCCATTTTCGTTGCTCACGGATTCAACCCGTTGGTCTGGCTAAACCGGGTGGCAGGGGACAGTGTCCGGCTGCTGCACTGGAGTTTGGCTCTGCAGCCCTTTAACATCCAGTACCGCCCAGGAAAACAAAATAGAAATGCAGACGGGTTGTTTAGACAAAATGACTTGGAGAAATGATCCGTGAGCCTCCCCGGACATCCCCAAGCCGATCCGTGCTGGATCCGACTGTGTATGCCGGCTTGTGGGCAATGGGGGAGCAGTGTAGCAGAGACTGGCTGTCCATCATATTCCCTGTTTGTTTGCTAGGTGACCCCAGAGACTTCCATGTGGATTTATTTTATAAAGACTTTCGTGTGGATTTATTATACAGTTAAAGCATTTGTTTGGTTGTCCGGTAAAAAGCCATATAAAACTTAATTGAACTGCTTTATTCACCATCCGAACCAAAGTACCACCCTGATGTGAAGCGTGGCTGTAATTAACCTCCCCGTTCGTTTCATTGTATTTTCATTGGAAAAAGCACAAACGCATTGTTTAAGTCCCTGGGTGGCCGCCATTTCGGCACCCGAACACGTGGATGCGGCCATCTTAACACACGAACAGCGGTGTTTGGTCGTCGAGTGTCTGGAACTCAAATCGGACACTCGACTACGCGAACACCGCTAAGTCCTCCAGGGCTCCAGAAAATACCGACTGAAACACACGAACGGCCCGCCGTACGGTAGGATGAATCCTACGAACAAGGGGATTCATCCGAATGCTAGCTCAACCCTGGATGGCATATATTTTCGGGACTTAACGCACGAAAGGAGACCGACCGCCAGGCCAAACTGTATGGAACTAATTTCGGCTACTGCTGCCTGCGCGGTCAGTCAAAAGTTTCTTCCACATAACTCCCGAACCCCTGGTCCGATCTGGGTAATTTTTTAATATGTTGTTCACCCAGATCAGGGCTATCGGGGAATACCACATTTAGGGGTGTTATTCATAGGGTTGGGGTACATCCAGAACTTTGTGAAAAATGTGTACATTTTAATGGTGTTATCTGTTAAAATGAGGGGAGGAGATGTGTGGGAGGTAACGTCTATGTGATTGGTTACTGTAATAATTACTGTGGGTGTCTCCCTTGCAGGGGAGAACTGCATAAAATGTGGAATAAAAGTTCAGTTCTGCTCCTGATACTGTGTGTCGTCCAGTTATTGGGAAAGGTGATGGGATATTATTGTATTGTCTTACTGATCGTGCCTACTAACCTACGGGATTTAGTACTTGTTCCTGAGCCATTCTGGGATTACCAGCGGAAATAGGCTGTGGGAGATCAGCTCTCCGCTACATGGTCCATGACTCAATTATCTCCCAGACAGACGCCTGGGCGGGGTTGTATGTATTGTATGCTGGGGTCTGTGCAGAAAAGGCGGGGTTGGTTCTGTTACGCTACTTGGGTGATTTGGATTGGAACTCAGCTGCAGCTTGTAGACCTCCCTAATTACAATAGTGAAGAAACAGAGAATCTTTAAAGTATCAATACTGTAGCTTTAAGAAAAGAGAGAATCACTTGTAACTTGATTCAACCGAAGTTTTAATAAGTGTTAAACTTAAATGAATTGCATTTAGGCAATAATCCAATAAGAAGAAGTGCAAGTAATCAACAACACAAAGTTCATTAATAAGTATTTCCTCAGAGATGCATTAAGTAACATTCTTTAAGTTCATGAGAATAATCTTCAATAGAAACAATAAGCAAGTAGCTAAGAATATTTGCAGAGCAAGAACAGTTCATAGTGAATAAACATGATGGGAGTTGTCCTCCGTATAATTAGTAGCTTGAAGATTTGAGTAAGCAAGCATTAGTTCATTAATAAATGATATTGTAGACAAATAGCTGAAAGATATACTTAAGGTTAATCTGAGTAGTCCTCCAATAGTTCAGAGATATGGTCCTCTTGTAAAGTAGCAAAGTATCCAGTAATCCTTTATGGCATGCAGCAATCCTTGCATTGGCTCAAAAGCTGGAACGGCTTGTCTGAGCTTGTGGAGAGGTAAGTCTGGTGGAAGTAGCTCCCAGTAGCTGAGCCTGTGGAGCCCGCGGTCTCGTGGAGGCAGCTCACACACAATCACCAAGCACCCTCTCTCTGGCCCAGTCTCCCTAAATACTGTCAGAGCTGTGTCAGAGGGGGGTGGGGTCCGGCTCCTCACAGCTGAGTGCCGAACCCGGAAGTGTTACTCCATGACAGGTTCAATAAAAACTGTTGTACTCTCAGAATTGTGTATCAGCCAGTTCCTGGGAGGGAAAGAGCTATTAACTATTCAGTGCCTTGTACAAGCTCATGAAGGATTCAGCGGTGAAAGTCCTTGCCTATAGCTCCGCAACACCCACCCACCATTACCTTACCATAGACACTAAACCACAATACCTACCCACAATTACCTTACCAGAAACATTAAACTACAATACCGATGTGTGGCGGACCGCCGTCACTGAGTACCATGCCCACTGCTTATTCTTGTGCTTTTCTCTTGCATGGTGTGTTCCCACTGTGTTTTCCCAGGTATCTCTGCCTTTCGTGTAATATGCACTGTTGACCGTTCGGGAGAGCTCATGCGAACGGAACCTGTTAGTCTACCAAACGCGGACCACCATTAGGATGTTCACACCAATCAATCCGAACGTTCGCACCTTCAACATAAGTGGGAAACCGCAAGGGAAGTAATTAATGAGTTCGTATAGGTGAACGCCCATCTCCTGATGGATCGGCACAAGTGAGCGCTGATTGGTCACTGCGGGTGACCAATCAGAGAAGGAGCGCCCATTCAAACAGGGTTTCACACTTTCTCCTGATTGGGCGGCGAAACCCCTCTGCTCCCTGAGCGCTGATTGGCGCTATTTGGTTCACGCCCTTTTTCCGAAATGGCTGTTGCTTGGCTTAGGCGCAAAGTTTGAATTCGCCAGACTAAACCAAGCAACGCGGTGGAACTTATATCGGGCATGTACAGATCCTCGAGCCCAGACTTTAGACAATGGTTTCTCGGGCTCTGTACATCAGATAGCCCCGCTATTTGCAGGCATCCGAGTTGACACCGGAGCTATCCAAGGACATATGTTTTAAGTTCCCCCCTGTGTGTAATATGTTTTAATGTATGTAACGGTGGTCTGTTGGTATCTCCCAGAGCAGGAGATGGTTATCTGTAACCCATCCCCCTCCCCCTCCTGTCACCATCAACCATGGTTGAAAGGAATAGCGAAGGGGCAGTTAACAAGAGTAAAGGATGCAATAGATATAAAGCATGTCTAACAACAACTTTAGGTAAAAGCTCACAATTTACCAGTAAAGCAACAGGTGAGACTTTTCCCATTAAGGCCAGTATTGGCTGCCTCACAGACTATGTAGTATATTTACTGCAGTGTCCGTGTGGCAAGCAGTACGTAGGCCGCACTAAAAGAGCTTTCAAAGTTAGAACATTATCAAAAAGGGCTAATATCTCACTCAGTACCAGTTCACTGTAATTCATTCCCAGCCTTTAAATTAAAAGACCTAACCTGTGTGGGCATAGAGCGAATCTCACCACATTGGAGGGGTGGCCAGGGCCGCCATCAGGGGGTGACAACCATGCCGGGCCCCGCGTGGAGTGGCGGAACTGCCACCGGTGTATCTGCACCGGGCCCCACACGCTGATGGGGCCACCCAATGGGTCCTATTATCTTCAAGGGCCCGGTCAGCGCTGTAATAGCGCAACCGGGCCCCTTTAAAAAATGCAGCCGTAACGCAATTGCTGCGTCACTTCCTCCCAGCTTACTCCGTGCGGGAAGGAGGAGAGACAGTCTGAAGGCCGAGAGGAGAGGCAGCGACGCCCATCATCCCCAGCCACCCTCCTGCAATGCAAAGGTAAGGAAGAGGACTTTAGGGACTTTAATTTGTGGCTTGGTGAATGGTGTCGGGAGCAAGGATTTGGCTTTATTTCTCATGGTAGCTCTGTTTGGAATGGAGATAAGCTGTACAAAAAAGATGGTTTGCATCTTTCTCAAAAGGGAACAAATGTTCTCAGTGAGCAGTTTAGAGGTTTTGCTAGGATGTATTTAAACTAGGAGGGGGGGGCAAAAGGGTGATAAAACATCAATCCAATTGTCCCCAAAACAAGGACAGAAGGTGCCTGTAGCAAGTGTGTTAAAAAATGATAAGCTTAGAGTCATGTCTACAAATGCTCGCAGTTTAGGGAATAAGATCCATGAACTTGTGGCAATAATGGCAACTGATAGTGTAGATTTAGTCGCTGTTACTGAGACATGGTACAATGAGAAAAATGACTGGGACATAGCAATACCAGGGTACTCTTTATATAGGAAAGATAGGGAAGGCAAGAAAGGGGGAGGGGTGGCCTTGTATGTGAAGGATAGCATAAAATCTAGCCTAATAAAAGTTAGTGAGGCAAACATAGAGTCCGTTTGGGCTACGTTAGAATTTGGTAATCACACAGTAACTCGTGTAGGTGTGATTTATAGGCCCCCAGGACAAATTGAAGAGTTAGATAATCTACTAGTTGAGGAAATAGCTAAAATGACAATGAAGGGGGAAGTTATCATCATGGGTGACTTTAATCTTCCTGATGTAAATTGGAAAACAAAATTAGCTACTTGTGCCAGGAGCACACATATTCTAAACTCCCTACTGGGATTGTCTCTAAAACAAGTTGTTGAGGAGCCAACTCGTAAAGAGGCCATACTAGATTTAGTGTTAACAAATGGAGATTTGGTATCAGATGTTACTGTAGGTGAAAGTTTAGGATCCAGTGATCATCAGTCAGTGTGGTTTAATATAAGAACAGTGACTGAGTCACACCACACAAAAACAAAAGTTTTAGACTTTAGAAAAACAGACTTTTCTAAAATTAGAATATGGGTAGAGGAGTCATTATCAGACTGGAGCAATTTAAATGGAGTCCAAGAAAAATGGGTTTATTTAAAAGTTGCTCTATTGAAGGCAACAGAAAATTGCATTAGGCTGGTCAGTAAAAGCAAAAAATTCAAGAAACCACTGTGGTACTCCGCAGATGTGGCCAAAATAGTTAAAAACAAAAAGTTAGCATTTAGGAATTATAAAAAAACCCAGAGTGAGGGAGACAAAATGATCTATAAGATTAGGCAGAAAGAGGCTAAGCAAGTTATAAGAGCTTCCAAATCACACACAGAAGAGAAAATAGCACAGTCAGTAAAAAAGGGGGATAAAACATTTTTAGATACATAAATGAGAAAAGAAAAGTAAAACAAGGATTAGTTAGATTAAAAACAAAAGAAGGAAGGTATGTAGAAGAGGATAAAAGGTCAGGCTGACTGCCTCAATGAATATTTTTGTTCTGTATTTACAGAAGAAAATGAAGGAAAGGGACCTCAGTTGAGAAAAAGGATAAATGAGTCATTTATTACACGTGAGTTTACAGAGGAAGAGGTTCTATTTCAACTGTCAAAAGTAAAGACAAATAAGTCAATGGGACCTGATGGAATACACCCAAAGCTATTAAAAGAGCTTAGTGGTGTACTAGCAAAACCATTAACAGATTTATTTAACCAATCATTGTTAACAGGAGTAGTCCCAGAAGATTGGAAGTTAGCGAATGTTGTGCCCATTTACAAGAAAGGTAATAGGGAGGAGTCGGGCAACTATAGGCCAGTAAGCCTTACTTCAGTAGTGGGGAAAGTGATGGAAACCATGTTAAAGGATAGGATTGATGAACATCTAAAAACACATGGATTTCAAGATCAGAGACAACATGGGTTTACTTCAGGGAGATCATGCCAAACTAATCTTATTGATTTTTTTGATTGGGTAACTAAAATTATAGATCAAGGTGGTGCAGTAGACATTGCTTACCTAGATTTCAGTAAGGCTTTTGACACTGTTGCACATAGAAGGCTTATCAATAAACTGCAATCTTTAAGTTTGGATTCAAATATTGTTGAATGGGTAAGGCAGTGGCTGAGTGACAGGCAACAGAGGGTTGTAGTTAATGGAATATATTCGAAGCTTGGACTTGTCACCAGTGGGGTACCTCAGGGATCTGTACTTGGACCCATTCTCTTTAATATTTTTATTAGTGATATTGCAGAAGGTCTTGATGGTAAGGTATGTCTTTTTGCTGATGATACTAAGATATGTAACAGGGTTGATGTTCCAGGAGGGATAAGCCAAATGACAAATGATTTAGGTAAACTAGAAAAATGGTCAGAATTGTGGCAACTGACATTTAATGTGGATAAGTGCAAGATAATGCATCTTGGACGTAAAAACCCAAGGGCAGAGTACAGAATATTTGATAGAGTCCTAACCTCAACATCTGAGGAAAGGGATTTAGGGGTGATTATTTCTGATGACTTAAAGGTAGGCAGACAATGTAATAGAGCAGCAGGAAATGCTAGCAGAATGCTTGGTTGTATAGGGAGAGGTATTAGCAGTAGAAAGAGGGAAGTGCTCATGCCATTGTACAGAACACTGGTGAGACCTCACTTGGAGTATTGTACACAGTACTGGAGACCGTATCTTCAGAAGGATATTGATACCTTAGAGAGGGTTCAGAGAAGGGCTACTAAACTGGTTCATGGATTGCGGGATAAAACTTACCAGGAAAGGTTAAAGGATCTTAACATGTATAGCTTGGAGGAAAGACGAGACAGGGGGGATATGATAGAAACATTTAAATATATAAAGGGAATCAACACAGTAAAGGAGGAGACTATATTTAAAAGAAGAAAAACTACCACAACAAGAGGACATAGTCTTAAATTAGAGGGACAAAGGTTTAAAAATAATATCAGGAAGTATTACTTTACTGAGAGGGTAGTGGATGCATGGAATAGCCTTCCAGCTGAAGTGGTAGAGGTTAACACAGTAAAGGAGTTTAAGCATGCATGGGATAGGCATAAGGCTATCCTAACTATAAGATAAGGCTAGGGACTAATGAAAGTTTTTTAGAAAATTGGGCAGACTAGATGGGCCGAATGGTTCTTATCTGCCGTCACATTCTATGTTTCTATGTTTCTATAAGAGGAGGGTGGCTGAAAAATTAATTTAAAAAAATTAAAATACATGTGTGTATGTATGTATACCAGTGTATGTATGTCAATATGTAGGTGTGACAGATCCCTCTGTCTTGGAACTATGCCTATACCCCTCTGGTTTCGTCTGTTTTTTGGTTAATTGACTGTCCGTACCCCCCGTTCGTTTATTTACCAAACTCCTGAACAAACCGCCGAACGGCCGGCCACCCAGCATGGAAGTGTGCTGCTGGTTAACCTCTTGGCCTCATTCGAACGTTGTGGTTAACCGCAGACACCTCCTAATTGTCGACGGTATGCTGGGAGGTCTTCGTTCGTATGCCGACCATGAGGCGGCGGCCATCTTAGATGCACGAATGATCAGCGGTGTTCGTCATTTTCATGGAACTGAAAACGGACACTATTTCTCCCGAAAACCGCTGAAACCGCCGACCTCCCTTCTCTGCCATCCAGCATACGAATGCCAGTCCATTTGGTACTTTCCGGCATGAATAGACTTACCCCAGATAGCCATCCCATGGAGCCCATTCGTATACCGAAAGACAATGTGAAAGATTTTGGCTCCATGGCAATTGGACTGTGTGTATAGGATCTGAGCGCCATTCGGTAATAATGTGCGCTCAGATCCAGGCTATCTGGGGATACGTTAAATGTGGTCATTCTATTCGTGTAATTTGAAGTTATTGATTTTTATGTATTTTTATTACTATGTCTAAAATGGAGTTTAGCTTCTATCCGTGGAGATAATTGGATTATGTAACGGAGCTCCTTGTACTCCGACTGAGTACCCTCCGTTGACGGATGCTCCTAGTGCTTCCTGAGGACTCCAAGCAGTGCAGCAGACACCACAACCACCGCAGACTCCGCAACCGCTGTATCTTAACTGGAGTCTCGCCGTCTACCTTCCACCATGTATCTAGCATCCAGGACTGTGTGGTGATGACCCCCTCCTCCAAGGAGAGCGTGTCAGGAACAAGCTCTTAAAAGAGCTAAGTGATTCAAGCTCAGGGGAGCATGCAGAGCATAGCACTTATCACAACACAATGGCACATTTTTAAAGGGGTGGGGGAGACAATATTTAACAGTAAATATCTCACCTGCCTGCAGAATTAGCGATATGCAAATCTACCCGAATATGCAAATGAACCAGTCTTGCAATTCAGTTAGTGCATATTTCTGTTGCTACCAACAGAGGGCACTAGACAAGCTCCATAGCCAAACCCACCTAGTTGGTAGCAAACCTCAGCAGTACAGGAGAGCAGGCAATACATTTCACAGTACACACACACACACTATAAACAATTACATTACACACCTATAATGGGTACAGGGTGACTAAAACATAAGATAAATAAAGCAGTTTACATAAATAGTCTGTCTGAAGGTAGACTAGGGGCTTTAAAGCCAAATACATGAGAGAGTCATAGTCACAGGGGAGGAGGCTGGCAAGCAGGCCTCTCCAGGACCAAGTGGCGAAGGGCACTTCGTCACAGATTACTTCCCAATTATCTCCGGGATAGAGAGGGGGGTCTTTCTCTTTCTCAGCTAAAGGGGAGTGTTTATGCTTGTGCCACTGTGATTGGCCACTGTATTCATATTGTCCCAGTCTTCCATCTGGTCCCCTAGGGGAGTTTCCACCATGTGGAAGACCTGCATAAATACCAGGCAGGTAGCCCTCAATAAACCAGATCTCTGCTTAACCCTCAATACGGAGCTTGGTCTTGTACTTGGGGGTATTGGATTCATATGGTTTGCTTGTTCGACTGTTTAGTTCGTGAAGGATTTCGTATGGTTACTGTTTGGCTAATTGGAGCTTTCGTTAACTGCTTCTCCATTCGGAAAGGGAACGTCCTCAGTGGTCTTAACCCCTCATATACCTGGGTATACCGTAACAGTATGTATGTCAGTATGTATGTATGCCAGTATGTGTATGTATGTCAGTATGTATGAATGCCTGTATGTCACTATTTGTATGTATGCCAGTACGTGTATATGCCTGTATGGGTATGTATGTATGTATGCATGCCAGTATGTATATGTATGTATGCCTGCATGTATGCCAGTATGTATGTATGCCAGTATGTGTGTATGTATGTATGTATGTGTGTGTGTGTGTGTGTGTCAGTATATATCATAATGTATGTATGTGTCTGTGTCAGTGTGTGTGTGTGTGTATCTGTATCTCCTTATGCATGTGTGTGTGTGTCTCTATGTGTGTGTCAGTATGCCTGTATGTGTGTATGTCTGTTTCAGTATTTGTATCCGTTATTATGTGTGTATCTTTCTGTGTGTGTCTGTGTCTGTGTCAGGAATGTGTGTATTCCTGTGGGCGGGATTTGGAGGCGGGCCCTTTGGGCGGGCTTGGAGGCGGGCACCTGTGGGCCCAGACCTTGAGCTGTGTTAGGGGCCCCACAATTTCTGATGGCGGGCCCTGGGGGGGGGGCAATAGGGATAAGAAACTGGCACAGAGAGAAACATTCTGGATCCACAAATGGCAAACTTTAACCCCCATAGGACATGTAGATATAGATCTGGTATGTTTTTTAAATTAATTAGGAGGCTCCTTAGATTCCAACCACTTTGAGATAGAAGCATAGTTTGGAATAATATATGTAGCACATCTGTTCAAAAAACAACCAAAATGTTTGGAGAACAAAAACCCCTTTTGTTTGATTTACAAAGTGAAAGAGTTAAATGAGTTTTAGCCTTATTTTTAATATTGTAAAATAAAGATAATATATAATGAATAGGATGCCCTCAATTATACATCAACATGCAATGTCCATACATTTTAAAGGGTGAGTAGCTGAAGGGGTTTTAACCCCTTCAGCGCCGTGGGAGGGGGACCCTGAGGGTGGGGGCACCCTCAGGGTACTATAGTGTCAGGAAAACTAAGCGGTTTTCCTGACACTATAGTGTCCCTTTGAGGACTATCGCAATATCCCTGGCAACCACCAGAGGACGATGAAAAGAATATTAATAAAAGATCGTAATGCCATATCAACTAGCCGGAATAGTGGAACGCACGGAAGTGCGTCATTATGGAAAGACATCCAATTTGCCTGAAGTGTGTCATCAGGGAGAGCCAAAGTTACCGCGCACCATTTATCGGCAAATACGAACAGCTGAGGAAGGGAACACAGAGGTAATCTGCCGGTCGATAATTGGTCCAATCAAAGGAGAAGATGAGAGAATGCCCACCACACCACCCATGGTCTTCCAGAATCCACCTTATACAGGGAGGGAGGTATTAGGCTTGTTGGTTCACTTGATTGTATTTTTCTGTGTATTTTATTGTAATTATTTTAATGTTGGTCCCTGAGGAAGTTTCCTAAAGGGAACGAAAACGCATAGGACCCTCTTTTAACAATATTATTTTAGCACAATATGACAATAAATATTTTCTACATCCATACCATTTAGAGTGTGTGACCTTCCTGGGTTCCAGATTGGAGCTATCACCAGCAGTAGGACATACCACAGGGGGGGCACCATGAGGGCTTGCTTTATACAACTAATCTGTGAGTGTAACCATGAAGTGTTGGGTGATTGAAGGTCTGTAACAGTATTATACTATGTTGTATTTTATTTATATGTTTTGGTGATACCAGCTGGATCCCTGTATTGTTTGCATTTTATATTATCCCCCTCCCCCTCCTGTACTGAAAGAGTGGAGACCCCCTGCGGGGGACTGTGCATAAAAGCTGTATACACCAAGAAAGGATTGCGGATTGAGCGCTGTTCGGATATAGTGAGCGCTCAGATCCAAGCTGGTTGAATGTGGGGGTTCTGTTCAGTGTGATGGGAATTATGTATTTTTATGTGTTTTTACTGTTGTTGTAAATTGAGATATTTCTGTATGCTGGAGATAATTGGCTTACCACACCCAAGCCATGCTTGCAGTTGGTCAAAAAGGGACTTCTAACTAACTTTTGACCCACTGGACCAATTTGTATGATTTTGACATATGTTTGTATTTGGAGTATGCTGATTCTGAAAATGTGAATTTGAGGTATACTTTTAGATTTATGAATATTGGGGAAAACTGTATTTTCCTGCCTGTGATAATTACTTTAGCCCATTGTGTTCAGTAATTATATCACAGACAGAGGGGAGGATTTCTACTGTGTATGTGGGAGTGATATTTTGTTAATTAGCATTTCCATTGGTTTGTGTCACTTTTGTCACAGTTTACCACCAGGTCCAGGAGGTGTGCCTCTGGTCTGAAAACTTGCATAAAAGAAAGCACTTTGATGCTGATTAAAAACAGTTCTACTTCACCCTCAATCTGAGTCCTGTCTCTTATTGGGGGAATCTCCTACAAGGGATTGCTATGCTCTGCATACTCCCTTGCTATATTCACTGCTAAGCTCTTGTTAGAGATTGTTCCTGCCTTGCTCTCTGGAGGAGTCTACGGTGGTTATGGTGTCAGCTGGAGTGCTTGGAGCCCTCAGGAAGCGCTAGGAGCATCCTTGAGGTACCCAGTCAGGGTGCCAGGCGATCCGTTACACAGACCATGTCCTTGGCTTCTGTTTATGTCTACAATCTTGATTTGAATAAACCTGTTGGATCTTTTTATGCTACATGAGAATGTGCAATAAACCAGAGTGATTCTGAAGCATACAGGTGTGTGTTGTGACTCTCTGAGCTCGTATCAATGATCCAATCTCCTCAAGTCCAAATGGAAATTCCTCACAACAGGTCATTACCCACCCATCTTTACCTGCTCACTGAAAACCAAACAGGAACACTTACCCTCCCAAGGACACACCAACAGCTAAGAGTGGAGCGGCTGGATATAGACTGCGCACATGACCCACCACCAAGCTGAGATCCTCGGTGTTAGCAGCACAGAATGTTCGAGGGGTCTGAAGGTGGAGAGACAGGGGTGACCGCGTTATTTAGCCTGGTGTACCGCTTAATAACATTTTACTTCGGAAGTGTAAGCAAAACATATATACCTAAATATTGTAAATAAATACATTGAGGGCGAACAAGCAATGCTAAACTTCCACATTAGAAGGGATGCCAAAAATCGCAGAGGCTTCCCTTGCGGTTTGTGGTTTTGACACCTCATTACCGGGTGCAAATGTTATAAAACCACATTCTAAATTAGATTTTGTGGTGCTCCCCGTTGGGGAGGTGAATGGAGTCCTGTTCGTGGCGGTACTCCCGAACTGCGAGCAGGCAGTTCTACAAAACACAAGGAACAAACACAGGGTCAAGCAAGGGGGAAAACACACGAAATGGATGTCAGTACAGTAACACACATTGCAGGGTGCCCGGGACAATTCACAGTGTAGAAGGGGGTTCTGCTACACCTCTTTAAGAGAGCACCCCCTGGTGGTTAATGTTAGATTATACATACAGACAGAACACAAAGAGAGAGCACCCCTTGTGGTTAATGTTAAATTAGACATACAGACAATAAAAACAGTAAGAGCATCCACTGGTGGCTGTTACTATATTAGACATACAGCCAGTTAATGAGCACCCCCCGGTAGCTGAGGTTAGATAACACATTATACAGATAGTAAAACTCACCACCCTGACACACAGTCTGTACGAACATTCTGACAATAACCTTCCATTGCTGTAAACGTTTATCTCCTGATCTAGACCCTCAACTCACCAGTAGTTTTTCACAGCCAAAGCCGCGGTTATTAAACACAACACTCCTGCAAAGAGAGAGACAGAGAAATATTTGATGACACAGGAGAGGAGAACAAATTCTGCTTGCAGCAGATAAACAGATTTTATCAATACCTTGCACCTTGCAGCAGATAATAAACAGATTTTATCAATACCTTGCACCTTGCAGCAGATAATAAACAGATTTTATTGATCCCTAGCAGCTGTCAGGAACACAGTTTAGTGGACAGAGCCCAAGATGCTGAAGACAATGAACCAAGTTCACAGTACCAAAGGATCAGACAAAGAGAATAGTCGGGGAAGCCAAAGGTCAGGACAGGTGGCACAGGTTCAGAAGCGATGATACACACAAGGGTCACTATAGGGAACAGGATACGGATACAACTGGAGAGTCTCTGAAGGTCCTTACATAATCAGGAGCACAGTACAACTGAGTGAAGAGTGAAGGATGTGTGCGACAAAAAAAAGGGAAAAGGGTGGTCTTGTTAATTGAGGTTCCACTGTGGTCTCCACCTCCTGTACCTTTAAAAGGCTCTGTGTCGGCGTGCGTATCCTTTGATTCTCCTGAAGTTCTACTTTCTGTGTGGTCGCACATGGAAGCAGCAGTGTTCTCAGGAAAAGACTTTTGTTCTTGCTGTGTTCGGGTGCCCGCGTTCGTATGAACTGAGTTCTGTCTGCAGTATAGGCAAGCAGTGTTCGCATGAACAGAGGTGTATTCTCGTGGAGTTCTTCCTTATATATCAGGAAAGTGGCATTTGTGCGAACAGAGGTGCTGTTGGCATAAAGGTGAGCGGTCGGCGTTGGTGATTGAACCGACTGCACTGTCTGGGGGTTCGCACCCCGACACGGTGTCCTCGTGGAGTGAGAGAGAGATGCGGCGTCGGAGCACAAAGTAAGTGAGTGTGGGAGCGAGGTCCTGATTGAAGCAGATAAACAGATTTTACCAATCCCTCGCAGCAGATAGTAAACAGATTTTACCAATCCCTCGCAGCAGATAGTAAACAGATTTTACCAATCCCTCGCAGCAGATAGTAAACAGATTTTACCAATCCCTCACAGCATGAAGTAAACAGATTTTATCAATACCTCGCAGCAGACCGGCACTATATACACTCACCGATAGCCATCCCCACTGGCTTGTCTCACTAAGTGCAATATGTAGGTTTGACGGCTGTTCCCTGTGAGCCCTGGTAAAAAGATGATTGTTGGCCTTTTGGAGCCATCAGGAAAGCAAGAGGAGTCTCCGCTATCTGTCCAGTCCAGTGATATCTGACCCCCATCAGCCGTTGAGATAATTTCACTATAAAAACAAATTGGAAATGCTGTATCATACACAAATCTCGTGCATCACACACTATATTTTACACTATATCACACACACTGTATCACACACACGCTGAATTATACACGCACTATATCACACACACTGTAGCAGAGCTCCGATACCCCGACTAGGTATCTCCACTGAATCTTAACCCATTAACTAGACGTCACATAGTTCTGGGAGTCTGTGACGAAGTGCCCTTCGCCACTTGTGCCTGGAGGGGACTACTGGCTAGCCTCCTGCCTTCCGACTCTGGCCCCTGTGCTGATAGCTGTATTTTACCATGCAGAAAGGTTTATTTCTGTATTTCTGCCGGGGCGTTCGGGACTTTCAGTATGTGAGTAGTGTGTAACAAAACCCCTGTATGGATCTTCAAAAACATTAGTTGGTTTTATGGACTTTGGACTAGTGCTGGCCCTTTAAAAACAGTGTAGGGACATATTGAAACTTCTGAGACACTTTTTCTGCCCCTTTGAATTCATGGGAAGGTGTGCCTTTTCCCCTCCCCCTGTCCCATTGTTCTCCAGCAGGGGGTTGTCCCAGGGACACTGCCAAACCAGTTGGAACTGGCTGCTTTGCCCCTCCTCGGTCAAAATATGACTTCCACCTATCTCCTGAACCACTTAACCGATTCAAGTGAATTTTGGATATTTTTATCCCCAAATTATGCTGGTTATAAAAATATAAGTTTTATTGATATCGCATGTAAACTCACAAAGTTACAAAAATGGCATAAAAGTGTGTTTTTTAGCTTGGAGATAATTAACTCAATTATCTCCCAAGCAGAGTCCATGTGTCCACGTGGGTGGTAACCTTGCTGGGAAAGTTGTATATAAGCAGGAATAAACACTCATTGGAGTCAGTTCTTCTTCACCCTCAGTCTAGAGTTTTGTCTCTTATTGGGGGTAACCAGCTATACAGCTAATCACATTAGCTCTTTTAAGAGCTCTCTCACCTCGAAGACTACCGGATGCTGATAATACCCGCTCACCCATCGGGAGAAGAACACCCTCCGTCGGTTGGAACCCCTCTACTCTCCGGGGTAACCGCTACATAGTGCTGCCCCAGATAGCTATGCCATGGAGCCTATTCATGTAACGAAAGACTATGGAAAAGACTTTGGCTCCACGGCGATTGAACTGTATGTATGTGATCTGAGTGCCATTTGGTAATAATGTGCGCTCAGATCTAAGCTATCTGGGAATATGTTGCATGTATATGTTTTATGTAGTAATTGTAACATTGTGTAATTTTTTTTTATTTTTTTTAATATATAATCTGTATTCAGACATCAACTCCGCTTTTTTTTCTTTTTTTTTTAACACAATAGGATTTGACAAAAAAAGAAGATACAATTAACAAAACATCCCATATAGAACATATACAGTAAGACACACATAACAACATTACTTTTTTCCACATAGGCTTGAAGTAGTATAGTTACGTTTAGTAAAACCCCTATGTTGTTTAAAGATCTCACTGTAAACAACTCACATACAGAAGGACATAACAAGACAAAACATCAAATGGTCATATGAGGTCACTCTTAATATAGTGTCGATCTCAACTTAGGCCCAGAAAAATTTAGGACATCTATCTATAAGTCAGCAACAGCCTCCAACTTCGCCAACCAGGAGTTATAGCGTTCTTGATATTTTATATTTAACCCAGCTTCCATTTTCAATTGATATTTAATTTGTTCCTTAACTACTGGCCAGGAGGGCACCAGCTCCATTTTCCAATACCTTGCAATAGAAAGTTTCGCGGCTAATAATATATGCAAGATAACCGGCAGTGAGCTACTACTAACCTGGTGAATATCTAATTGTAAAAGGCATATCTGTGGTACCATCGGTAAATCAATCAAAGTAATAAGTTTTATCCTAGATAAGATCATTTTCCAAAACTTCTGTATATACCTACAGTCCCACCATATGTGTAGATAGTTCCCACATTCCACATTGCATCTCCAGCAATTGGAGTTACCTGAATTATTAAACTTCTTAATTTTACTGGGGACCATATACCACCTATTTATGATTTTAAAATGGCATTCCACCAGATTAAGGCAATGGATATGTTTATAGGTAAGATTTAGAGCTTCTCTCCATTGGTTACAAGTAATCTGATTTCCCAAATCTCTTTGCCAAGAATTAATTATAGCTTCTAGAGGTTCATCTGAGTTTTTTTGTAATAGGTTTAATCCCATAGATAATAGCTTTTTTGGAGAATCCCTATCAAGGATATTTCCCATGTCCCTTAAGCGATCATACCTTTCTGTGATAACATATTGATGACAAAAGCCTTTTAGCCTAAGGTAATTGAAAGTCTCCTTATTGTCTATTTTATATGTTTGTTTTAAAGTTTGAAAATCCATCCATCCATTTCTATCCATTAAGTCTTGAAATTTATATACGCCTTTTTCAATCCAGCTTTTTAAGTTAAGATTAGTCATATAGTGAGCCATATTTCTTAAAGAAAGGGAAGGGATTAACTTATTATAAAGACCTAGTGAGTTTTTAGTTTTTTTCCACCCCCTTAGGACATTGTTCAGGATAACACTTGATGAGATGGGGTTTACCTTATGATCGGTCTCTAATTTTAAGGGCCAAAAGAGCACAGACAACTCCAACGGTGGTCCCTCAGTTGAAGTAAGGTCTTGTTCTATCTTGTACCATATCTCATTCTTACTATCATTTAATTGAGTAATAATTGCGTGTGTAAAAGTCGCAGCATTCTGGAAGTCCTTTAGAATAGGAACCCCCAGGCCCCCCTTTTTCACTTTTAAGGCTAAGCGTTTTTGGGATATTCTTGGAGGCTTATGTAACCATATAAATTTATTCAATAGGGATTGAGCTAAGGTCAACCAACTGTCCGGGCACGGTAATGCCACCATTCTGAATAGATAAACCCATTTTGGGATAATATAAGATTTAACTACATTGATGCGGCCCCACCATGAGATCTCTAAATTCTTCCAATTTTTTAATTTCTTTGCCGTAGTTCTAAGAAGAGATAGAAAATTGAGTTCCATGATAATATTAACGTCATTTGCTATTTCAATTCCCAAATAGTTAAAAGAAACCTCCGCCCAATTAAATTCATATCTCTGCCTAAGTGTTGCCCTTGTATTCTGAGGGGTATTCATTAGTAATGCAGTCGACTTATTGACGTTAATTTTATAGCCTGAGTGTAAAGCGTATTCATCTAAGGTATTAAAGAAAGCTATAGAGGAGTTTAAAGGATCTGCTAGGGTTAATACAATATCATCAGCATACATTGTTAATTTGATGCAATCATTTTTGAAATTAAGGCCCTTTATTGCCTCATTTTTCCTTATTGCTACAGCTAGAGCTTCTATTGTCATTAAATAGAGAAGAGGTGAGAGCGGGCAGCCCTGTCTTGTCCCGTTTTTCAACGAAAAAAAATCTGAGCTGAATCCCGCTCCCATAACTCTTGCAGAAGGAGTTGAGTATAAGGCCATTATTGCTTTTCTTATATTCCCAAAAAGGCCAAAGGTTTGTAGGACCGCGTCGAGGAAGTCCCACCTGACCCTGTCGAATGCTTTCTCTGCATCTAAAGACAGGATCAGGAGGGAATATTTCCTCGACTGGGCCCAGTCCACTACGTCTATAAAACGTCTGACATTATATACCGAAGAGCGTTTGGAAATAAAGCCCACTTGGTCCCTATGGATTATATCCATCATAATTCCATTTAATCTACTTGCCATTATTGAGGAATAAAGTTTTAAATCTTCATTCAATAACGAGATAGGTCTATAATTGGTTATTAACTCTGAGGACTTTTGTGGTTTAAGAATAGGGACCAAATTAGCTCTCAGCATCTCCGGCGGGATGTTACCTTTTAGCATAAACTCATTAAATATATCCCTCAGGATATTTGCTAAATTTTCTTTCATAGATTTATAAAATTTATTTGTAAAACCATCCGGACCTGGAGACTTAGAAATTTTCAATCTATCTATGGCTTGGTTGACCTCTTCCAGGTTTATAGGATCGTTTACATTTTGTAGTTGAGATTTCGTTATTTTTGGCAGATTTAACTTCTCTAAATATTCTAAGAGATTAACTGGGGAATGTCTATCTGGAAGATTATATAGTTTAGTATAAAATGCTTGGAAAGCCTGACCTATTTTTGATGGATTCAAAAGAACCTTATCTTCTTGAATGATTTTAGTTACCCTCATCTTGATAGAATCCTTCTTTAACCTATTCGAGAGTAATTTATCCGCTTTATTCCCCCTATAATACCATGTCCTTCGTAATTTTTCTAATGAAAAATTTGCTTTCTGAATTAGTAAATCGTTAATACTCTCTTTAATGATCGAGAGTTGTTTAGTAATATCTATGGATGGATTATTTTTATTTATATATTCTAATTGATCTAGTTGTATATACAGGTGCGTAAGATTGTTTCCCTTCTTTTTTTTTTCCTGGGACCCCATCTTAATGAAATGTCCTCGAATTGTACACTTATAGGCGCACCATATAATAGGTAATGGTAAGTCATCTTTAGTGTTTTCTTCAAAAAATAAATTTGTAGTTGACTTAATTTGCTTTAAATATTCTGAAATACTTAATAGACGATCGTTTAATCTCCAATTTGATCTATTATCCTTCAAGCCATCATCCAGAATCATCATTACCGCATTGTGATCTGACCATGCAATGTTTTTAATAAAAACTTTTTTAAGCATTTTGGATATGCTTGGGTCTGATATTATTAGGTCAATTCTGGAATAAACCCGGTGAGCCCCAGAGAAACAAGTATAGTCATGTTCCATAGGATGCAAAATCCTCCAGAGATCCAAAAGGCCCCTATTTTTTAACAAGTTACTAAAGGATTTAGCTGAGGTTTTTAGCTGTTTATTATACTGGTCGTTAATTAAGCTTCTCCTATCTAGTTCTGGGTTAAGCATACAATTAAAATCCCCTAAATAGATTACCATACCTTGCCTATTTCTATCTACTATATCCATTAGTTTCCTGATAAACTTAATCGGGGCTAAATTTGGGGCATAAAGATTCACTATCGTATAGATCCTATTATTTATTTCGCAAATTAGTATATGATATCTGCCTTCTGGATCCTGTATTTGGTAAATAAATTTAAAAGCTAATCTAGAGGAGATGAGGGTCGCAACTCCTCTTTTTTTTTTATCATATAAGGAGGAGGAAAAAATAAATGGATAATCTTTAGAATTTAATCGTATTTTTCCTCTTTGCTCCCAATGTGTTTCTTGCAACCCGCATATAGAAATGGATTCATCTTTCAAAAATCTAAGAAGGATATTGCGCTTTTGTGGTGAATTTAAACCTCTAAGGTTCAAAGTTACTATTTTTATCCTTATTAATCCAGTTTAGAGTTGAACAATCTCCCTTGTGTCCAGCTATAGGGAGTAAACTCATCTTCCAAGAATCTAGAGAAGATATTACAATTTTTATTAGATCTACCCCCCCTAGTTCAGGCTTGCTATTTTTACCAAAATTAATCCTATTTAGAATTGAGCAACTCATATAGAGCCAATCTCATGGGAAGGACCAAATATGACCAGACCATAACAAAACGACAACACGTACATAAAACATTAAACCCCCATAGGCTCCCTACCCCTCCTCCCATGGGAGCCATCCCAAAGCCCTTTACTGATCGTAACCTACCCAAGGTATAGATCAGTCAAACTCAACCGCGTTAGCGGTTGGAGGGAAGCAGAGGAGAATTATACCTAATTATCAACCCGAGAGCCTCATAGATAAAAGCTCTAGAAAAAATGACAATAACAATTTAAAAGAAGTATCACCTCCTTACCCCAAAGACTAGAATTTATTACCTTCTTCCCTTACTATTTGTCCACTACCATCCTAGGGTGGCTTCATAACTTTAATCAGCAGTGCATATCTCAGTGATTAGTTTAAATTCAGTGCTATATATGATACGTATGTTTAAAGCAATTTAACAGACATAATTTACTCTAATCATTTAGCCAGGGTGTAAATCTTATATGTTCAAAAATTGAAAATCTAATATGTAAAGTGCTTATCTATTGCAGTCCTAGAGAGACTTCGTAGCTTTAATCAGCCGTGCTTATCTTAGTGATTAATTTGACTAGTGCTGTATATATTATATATAATTAACACTAATTAAAGCATCCCGTGAATTTTCTTTGTATCTCATATTCCTTTGCTCTAATATTCTACAGCGATATTGTATCCTGTTTAATCATGTATTAAAAAACTAGTGTGTAAAATTATTTACGTCCGTGTCATGTTATGTTCCCCCGTGCAACATAATTTCATTATGCTTTAGGATATGCTGTCTAACCTTATAGTCTAATTTAAATTTCTGCTTAATATCCCTATTTCACTTATAAATATGTGTCCTTAATTTTAAAGTTGCCCTTGCAGTTTTACAATTGTTGTGGTACTTCATATTCCCCTTATTTGGTTGGACTATTTAGGGTTTCTCTTCCCTGTTTCAAAAAAAAAAAAAAAAAAGAAAATTTTAAATAACCTCCGCTTCCCTCATCCGTTTTATCCCTAATAGCTTTCATATCATCTTATTTGTTAATAACCATTGATGTAAATTATCAACCTCTTTAAAGGCTTCTAGATTGTCTTTATAATAGAACTTTAACCCCGTAGGGAATAGCCATGTGTAGCTTATGTTGTGATCTCTAAGCTTGCCTGTGCAAGTTAGGAATTTCTTCCTTGCAGTTCTAGTGGCAAAAGATAGGTCATTAAAGCATTTTAGCTCTTCAAATTTTGAGTCCTTTAAAGGTTTCAACCTTAAAGCTTGGTTGAATTTGGTCTTCAAGTAAAGAGACTGAAAACTTGCAATAACTTCTCTTGGGATATGAGCTGGTAGGCTTCTTGCTTTTGGCAGTCTATGTACATTCTCAAATATAATTGGGATATTTTGCAGCTGCATATCTAGAAAGTTTAAAAGCTCAGTCAGATAGGCAATCAACATTTGGTTGGGTATATTCTCCGGGATTCCTCTAATCCTAATATTTCTCCTCCGCGACCTGTCTTCCCAGTCAACCATCTTAACTTCCAGGTTATTTATTTTCTGCTCCAAGGAATTAATTTTGTCTTCCATAAGGTTATTTCTAAGCATTGAACATTCCAATTTCTCTTCCATGGATGTAATCCTTATGTTTACTTTCTTTATTTCTTCTTTAAAGGTCGTGGTGAAAAGTTGCATCTCACCTTTTATCTTTTCCATTTGTGAGTCAAAACAGTTATTAAGAGTGACTCTATCAATATTAAGGAGGTCACTTGGAGGGGAATTACTGTATGAGTTTAGACCATTTGTCTCCATAAGGCTAGTATTCACCATATCTTCTTCTGAAGGTTTAGTAGAGCCCGCTTGGCTTAGTCTCCTGTCCTTCTCTTGAGCAGAGAAATAATTTGACAAGCGTTTATCAGATTTTAATTCCGCCTTAGATTCAAATTTAGAGTCGACTTTTTTATCTTTGTCCTTCCTTGTGTTTATTTTATTATCACCCTTTTTTGCCGCCATGTTTCTGATTTACTTGAGGGTAAAAACAATAGATGCAGTTGTATGCCTACAAATGCGCAAAATATGTCAAGTTATCTCAGCTAACTATTCAAGCTATTCGTAGGCTTCCGTATCTTTATCCTTACTTGGACATACGAGATTTTAAGAAGCTTTAAGAAGCTTTAAGGAGTTGTTGTTTGCGAAGCTCTGGTGATTTAATTAGCTTTAGTTAGCTTTAAGTACACCTTAATAAGCTTTAAGAAGCTTTTCCTGCTTCCCAGACTTCTCAGAGTATTTTACAGGGTTTTAACAAATCCAACTTTTTATTTTATCACCCAATTCACACTTCTAGCTTCGTCTGACTTTGTTTGTTCACAATTCAGACTTCATAAAACAGATTTCGGTTAGCCTGATCGTGTAGGCAGAGAAAACCCAACAAGAGAAAGAAGAAAAAAAAAAAAAAAAAAAAGAATGTCCCGACTGAGCTAATGTTAGGTTGGCTTTCAATGTAAGATTCTACATTAAGTTGATAAATCTTATCTTACTGCAGTGTACCTCACATGCCTTGCTGTACTTCTTGAATTCTGTGTACTGAGCGGTGGAGATATCTAGGGATGGGCGCTCGGCAGCCTCTCTGTATTTTCCCAGGTTGCTGCGCAGTTACCGTGTTATAGCGTTGTAGCTTTTCAGCGTTCCTCTCCGTCTCCGTTTTGCTCCCTTGCAGTCTTAATTCCATTCGACCGCCTTACCGCCAATCTCGCTTGATCCTCGCATCCGCAGTGTAGTTAGCAGTGTAATTCGCCGCAATATAGTTAACCTCTGCGATCGCTCTTGTCGTCTCACTCAAACACCGGCTCAGGGGTCGGCAGCATTACAGCGTCCATTACTGCTTCCTCCTCCTCTGTTCCTCTCATCCGCGCGACGTCACCACGTGCACGTCACGTCATCGCTCCACCCCCCCCTCCACATTGTGTAATTTTATGTATTTTTGCAACCATGTGGTTAATGGAGTCTTGCCTCTGTCCTGGGAGATAATTTGACTTCCCAATTATCTCCAGGATAGAGAGGGGGGATTGTGATGTCACTGTGGGAGTGTTTTGTTTGTATTGTCTGTGATTGGCTAATATCCAATATGTGTCCCATTGTTCCATCAGGTCCCCTAGGGGAGTGTCCACCTGGCATAAATACCGGGCAGGTAGCCCTCAATAAACCACACCTACTTGCACCTTTCTTGAAGCCTTAGCTCATGCTTGGGGGAAGGGATACCTACACTCTGGGGATTGCTATAATCACTTACTCTCCAGAGTAAGCTCTTGTAAGAGCTTGATTTGTTCCTGCTACGCTCTCTGGATTTAGGAGAGGTTCACCCACTGGGAGCTGGATCCTGGTCGTGGATCCAGGGTGGGTGAGAGACGGCGAGACCCCAGTGCAGCTGCATTGCTGGAAGTGGGGTCCGCTGTGCTGATGGTGTCAGTTGGAGTGCTCGGAGTCCTTAGCAAGCGCTCGGAGCATCGATTGGCGGAGGTACTCGGTCGGAGTGCCAGCGGTCCGTCACAGAGTCAATTGAGGTTTTTTATGCCACTCTCTGCCTTTTAAGCACAGACCCCCAGCATGGGGTCTCCATAGACCAGAATACAAACCCCTCCCAGACGTCTGTGTCTGAAAGATAATGGAGTCAAGAAAAGGATAACTCCAAAAACCACCAAAAAACATATCCATAATACAGGGAGTGCAGAATTATTAGGCAAGTTGTATTTTTGAGGATTAATTTTATTATTGAACAACAACCATGTTCTCAATGAACCCAAAAAACTCATTAATATCAAAGCTGAATATTTTTGGAAGTAGTTTTTAGTTTGTTTTTAGTTATAGCTATGTTAGGGGGATATCTGTGTGTGCAGGTGACTATTACTGTGCATAATTATTAGGCAACTTAACAAAAACCAAATATATACCCATTTCAATTATTTATTATTACCAGTGAAACCAATATAACACCTCAACATTCACAAATATACATTTCTGACATTCAAAAACAAAACAAAAACAAATCAGTGACCAATATAGCCACCTTTCTTTGCAAGGACACTCAAAACCTGCCATCCATGGATTCTGTCAGTGTTTTGATCTGTTCACCATCAACATTGCGTGCAGCAGCAACCACAGCCTCCCAGACACTGTTCAGAGAGGTGTACTGTTTTCCCTCCTTGTAAATCTCACATTTGATGATGGACCACAGGTTCTCAATGGGGTTCAGATCAGGTGAACAAGGAGGCCATGTCATTAGATTTTCTTCTTTTATACCCTTTCTTGCCAGCCACGCTGTGGAGTACTTGGACGCGTGTGATGGAGCATTGTCCTGCATGAAAATCATGTTTTTCTTGAAGGATGCAGACTTCTTCCTGTACCACTGCTTGAAGAAGGTGTCTTCCAGGAACTGGCAGTAGGACTGGGAGTTGAGCTTGACTCCATCCTCAACCCGAAAAGGCCCCACAAGCTCATCTTTGATGATACCAGCCCAAACCAGTACTCCACCTCCACCTTGCTGGCGTCTGAGTCGGACTGGAGCTCTCTGCCCTTTACCAATCCAGCCACGGGCCCATCCATCTGGCCCATCAAGACTCACTCTCATTTCATCAGTCCATAAAACCTTAGAAAAATCAGTCTTGAGATATTTCTTGGCCCAGTCTTGACGTTTCAGCTTGTGTGTCTTGTTCAGTGGTGGTCGTCTTTCAGCCTTTCTTACCTTGGCCATGTCTCTGAGTATTGCACACCTTGTGCTTTTGGGCACTCCAGTGATGTTGCAGCTCTGAAATATGGCCAAACTGGTGGCAAGTGGCATCGTGGCAGCTGCACGCTTGACTTTTCTCAGTTCATGGGCAGTTATTTTGCGCCTTGGTTTTTCCACACGCTTCTTGCGACCCTGTTGACTATTTTGAATGAAACGCTTGATTGTTCGATGATCACGCTTCAGAAGCTTTGCAATTTTAAGAGTGCTGCATCCCTCTGCAAGATATCTCACTATTTTTGACTTTTCTGAGCCTGTCAAGTCCTTCTTTTGACCCATTTTGCCAAAGGAAAGGAAGTTGCCTAATAATTATGCACACCTGATATAGGGTGTTGATGTCATTAGACCACACCCCTTCTCATTACAGAGATGCACATCACCTAATATGCTTAATTGGTAGTAGGCTTTCGAGCCTATACAGCTTGGAGTAAGACAACATGCATAAAGAGGATGATGTGGTCAAAATACTCATTTGCATAATAATTCTGCACTCCCTGTATACAGGAGCCCCACAAATGTTATATTGAAGAATAGCCCAGTTCTGAGCACCCAAGTTGTCCAAATAGCGCAGAGATCACTTCGGTAGAACGGAATGGCCATTCGCGTAAAGTTCTGACTGGCCGGCCACGAGGTAGTAGCCCAGTGGTTCCCAACCTTTTTTCACTCTAGTACCCCTTGGGAGCCCATTTCCATAAATTGTGCCCAGACCCGTGCCGCCGAGACCGGCCCACCTGCTGCTGAGACCCAGGTAAGACTCTCTACCCTGACTTGTACCTTAGATCAGGCCTCTTTAGGCTGGGACACCCCAGAGATGTACGGTAGGGAAACCAGGGCAGATACTGGGGAAGACGGGGTCGAAGTGGGTGGGGGATAGGCTGTACAAGATTCCTAAACCGTCCCAGAAACCGAAATACCCCTCCGCAGAATTGGCAGCTGGTGGTGCCTGCGAAATACCAGCAGGAGATTCTGCGGATTGGATATGATGTCCCATTAGCGGGCCATCTAGGCTCCCGCCGCACAGCTCATAGGATCACCCAAAATTTCTTCTGGCCTAATTTCAACCGAGATGTACAGGTCTATTGTAGTACGTGTGATACATGTCAACGGGTAGGTAAACGGGAGGATCACCCAAAGGCTAGGCTCATATCGATGCCTATAATTAGAGAACCCTTTTCCCGCATAGCCGTTGACATTGTGAGTCCACTGGCCAGGGCTAGCCCATCCGGTAAAAAGTATATTCTCACCGTGGTGGACTATGCCACCCGTTATCCAGAGGCAGTAGCGCTGTCTAATATAGAGGCAGAGATGGTTGCTGATGCCCTGGTTAAAATTTTCACTAGGGTCGGGTTCCCTCAGGAGATCCTCTCCAACCAGGGAACTCAGTTTACCGCTGTGCTTACCCAGCAGCTGTGGAAGGTGTGCGGCATTAAACCACTGCTTAGCTCACCTTATCACCCACAGACTAACGGTCTCTGCGAGCGATTTAATGGCACCCTCAAACAGATGTTGAGGACCTTTACTGACACTTGCAGAGACTGGGAGCAATTCCTGCCTCATCTACTATTTGCATACAGAGAGGTGCCCCAGGAATCTACTGGGTTCTCTCCCTTTGAGCTACTCTATGGGAGAAGGGTCCGCGGACCCCTAGATCTCATTAGAGGACACTGGGAGATAGAGACGGAGCAAGAGGGAACCCCCATCGTGCCATACGTTCTGGAACTCCGGGACCGCATGGAGAAACTGTCCCTGATGGTAAGGGAGAATCTCCAGGCGGCAAAGGGGAGACAGAAGAGGTGGTACGATCGGGGTGCCCGACAGCGGGTCTTTCAGTTTGGGCAAAAGGTTCTAGTGCTCAAGCCTGTGAAGACGAACAAGATGCAAGTATCTTGGTAGGGCCCGTATAAAGTGTTAGCTCAGGTGTGTGATACTACCTATCTTATAGCCAGCTGTGCAGATGAAAGGATTCAGCAATCCTTTCATGTGAATATGTTGAAGGAGTATCAGGAGAGACCAGAAGATGTCGCTGCAGTGTGTGCCCCGGCTGCCGACGACCCCGAGAATTTACCCGTGCCCGACCTATTAGAGAAGGACCCCCAGACTGATCCCACTAGTCTTGTACAGCTAGGGGACCGGTTAAGCCCCACAGAGAAGGTACAGGCAAGACAGCTTCTGTGGGAGAAGCAGGCGACGTTCTCCCAAGAACCCGGCTACATTGGCAGATCCCACTGGCCGAGGATGCTATCCCTAAGTCGGCATTCATCACCCCATTTGGTCTGTAACAGTTTAAGGTCATGCCATTTGGGATGAAGAATGCTCCGGCTACCTTCCAGCGTATGGTGGATAGGCTTCTCGATGGCTTCCAGGAATTTGCATGTGCATACCTGGATGACATTGCGGTCTACAGCGAGTCCTGGGAAGAACACCTGGTACACGTAGGGTGGTTCTGGACAAAATTCGGGCCACTGGCCTGACCTTGAAGCCAGACAAGTGCCATCTAGGCATGGCAGAAGTGCAGTACTTGGTAGGATGTGGGAGCCAGAGACCAGACCCAGCCAAGGTAGAAGCTGTAGCTAACTGGCCCACACCTATCACCAAGACCCAAGTGCTGGCCTTCCTGGGAACAGCAGGGTATTACCGACGCTTTGTCCCTGACTACAGCACTATTGCTAAACCCCTGACTGACCTGACGAAAAAGAACTTACCTAAGCAGGTCCTGTGGTCTCCAGCTTGTGAAGCCGCGTTTCAGGCATTGAAGCAAGCTCTGGTGAATGCCCCTGTCCTGGCTGCCCCAGTCCCTAACAAACATTTTCTCGTTCATACAGATGCTTCCATGTATGGCCTGGGGGCTGTGCTGAGCCAGGTCGGGGAAGATGGAGGAGAGCACCCTGTCGCATATCTCAGCAGGAAGTTACTACCCCGGGAAGTGAGTTATGCGGCAGTAGTGTTTTGCCCTGGTCTGGGCATTAAAGAAATTGAGCCCCTATTTGTACGGGCAGGAGTTCTCTCTTATCATGGACTACAATCCCCTTGTCTGGCTTAAACGGGTCTCAGGAGACAATGGTAGACTGCTGCGGTGGAGTTTAGATTTACAACCTTACCATCAGCTACCGACCCGGTAAGCAGAACGGGAATGCAGATGGATTGTCCTGGCAAACCGACGTCCCTATTACCTCCTAGTCCGGTCATCCCCAAGTTGACCCGCCACAGGGTCAAGCCGGGTCTGCCGGAGTGTTCCACAAGGGGGGAGCCGTGTGACAGATCCATCTGTATAGACTAGGATTGCTGGTTCGTCTGTTTTCCTTTTTTCTGGAATTACCTGTTCGTATGCCTCTGTTCGTATAATTGACGTTTTTTGCCGAACAAAACCACCGAACGGACGGCCACCCAGACGAGAAGTGTGCTGCTGGTTAACCTCTTGATCCCAATTAGAACGTTGTGGTTAACCGCAGACACTTCTCAATTAAAACCGAATGCAGGGTGGTCGTCAGTCGAATGTCGACCGCGAGGCGGCGGCCATTTTAAACAAGCGAAAGACCAGCGGTGTTCGGCCCAGAATCTATGGAACTGAAAATGGACATTTTTTCCGCCGAACACCGCTGAAGCCGCCGACCTCCCTTCTCAATCGACAGAGGTACACGAACACCGGCTGTTCTGGAGTTTGAAACGCACGAATGGACTTAACCCAGACAGCCTTCCCATGGAGTCAATCGCATACCGAAAGACTGTAATAAACTTTGACTCCATGGCGATTGAACTATGCGTATGGGATCTGAGCGCTATTCGCCAATAATATGCACTCAGATCCAGGCTATCTGGGGATATGTGATACGAATGAGAAATATTCGACAATTATAAAATTTATGTATTTTTGTGTGTTTTTCATGTTGTATTTAAAATGGCGATTTGCCTCTGTCCTGGAGGTAATTGAATTACTTCTCAATTATCTCCAGGGCAGAGGGGAGGAAACCATAATGCATGCTGGGAATATTATGTGCCTGTGTGTCTAAAAATGGCGTATGTCCATCTGTCATTACAGTCTCCCATTTGGTCCCCTAGGGGAGTGTCCACCAAGCGGGAGACCTGCATAAATACGGGCGGGTAGCCCACAGTAAAGCCAGTTCATGTGTGACCCTCAATGTGGAGCTTGGTCGCCTTATTGGGGGGGATTTATTACCGACGACTAGAGACTGCCGAATGGGATTATTAGCGTTCAGCTACTATTGGCGATTCGTGAGTTTGGAGCTCGAGAAGTGAAGTAGCCGTATGGGTCCCGTTCGGGAGATTACAGCGTTCCCCTGCTTGCGGTTCGTATGATTGCAATTGATACGAATTAAGCCTGTGTTATTGTGAGATGGGAGGATTCACTAAACAGCGGTTTGTGCATTTGATGCTGAGGGTACCGTAACAGGTATAGTGACACAGTAACAGAGGAATCGAGGCCCTGCTCAGTGAGTTTACATGTTAGAGGGAGTGGGGTATAGTGACAGTAACAGAGGGATTGAGGTCCTGCTCAGTGAGTTTACATGTTAGAGGGAGTGGGGTATAGTGACCCAGTAACAGAGAGATTGAGGGCCCTGCTCAGTGAGCTTACATGCTAGAGGGAGTGGGGTATAGTGACACAGTAACGTAGGGATTGAGGGCCCTGCTCAGTGAGCTTACATGTTAGAGGGAGTGGGGTATAGTGACACAGGAAGAGAGGGACTGAGGGCCTGCTTAGTGAGTTTACATGTTAGAGGGAGTGGGGCATAGTGACACAGTAACAGAGGGATTGAGGGCCCTGCTCAGTGAGCTTACATGTTAGAGGGAGTGGGGTATAGTGACACAGTAACAGAGGGATTGAGGCCCTGCTCAGTGAGTTTACATGTTAGAGGGAGTGGGGTATAGTGACCCAGTAACGTAGGGATTGAGGGCCCTGCTCAGTGAGCTTACATGCTAGAGGGAGTGGGGTATAGTGACACAGTAACGTAGGGATTGAGGGCCCTGCTCAGTGAGCTTACATGTTAGAGGGAGTGGGGTATAGTGACACAGGAAGAGAGGGACTGAGGGCCTGCTTAGTGAGTTTACATGTTAGAGGGAGTGGGGTATAGTGACACAGGAAGATAGGGACTGAGGGCCTGCTTAGTGAGTTTACATGTTAGAGGGAGTGGGGTATAGTGACAGTAACAGAGGGATTGAGGTCCTGCTCAGTGAGTTTACATGTTAGAGGGAGTGGGGTATAGTGACAGTAACAGAGGGATTGAGGTCATGCTCAGTGAGTTTACATGTTAGAGGGAGTGGGGTATAGTGACCCAGTAACAGAGGGATTGAGGACCCTGCTCAGTGAGCTTACATGTTAGAGGGAGTGGGGGTATAGTGACACAGGAAGAGAGGGACTGAGGGTCCTGCTCAGTGAGATTACATGTTAGAGGGAGTGGGGTATAGTGATACAGTAACAGAGGAATTGAGGGCCCTGTGTAGCGGAGAGCTGATATTCCACAGGTTATCTCCACTCAAGATCCCAGTGAGGCTCAGGAACAAGTATTAAAAATCCATAAGGCAATAATTCCAGCAGGCAAGACAATCCAATAATATGCCAATATCAGTCCCAATGACTGGATGACACACAGCATCAGGAGCAGAACTGAACTTTTAATCACTCAACCTTCTTTTAAAGCTTTCTCCAATGCAAGGGAGGGATTTACAGTAATTACACAATACACCAATCATACATGAGTAGCCACCCACACATCCCCTCCCCTTAGTATGACACATAATTCCATTATGCAGGACACAGTTCCCCTGGTTTTCTGGATGTACCCCTAAACATAGGGGTACCCCTTTAAATATTACATCCACTGGTAGCCCTGATCTGGGTGAGACACATATCCAAAAATCACCCAGATCGGACCAGGGGTTCGGGAAAGTCCTGGAGGTAATAAAAAGACCGACCGCGCTGGAGTTAACAGCCGAAAGGAGTTCCATACATTTTGGCCCTGCGGTCGGTCACAGAAAAAGGGAATAAATTACACAAATGGCTTGGGTTATGGAGACTGGGGAGGATTCAGGTAAACCCCCTTCTTCGCAGGGTTCTTTATACCGAACGGGGAGCAGTTTGGTAGTTCCTACACAAATTGATGGCAGTGTGGAGGTCTCAGCAGTGTTTGCCTAACCGAGTGTCCGATTTGGGTTCAAGACACTCGACGGCAAAACACCACTGTTCGGGAGTTTAAGATGGCCACCGCCACGTGTTCGTCTCCCGAATGGCGGCCACCCAGAGGACAAAGCACACACTGCACGTAACAGAGGGATTGAGACCCTGCTCAGTGAGCTTACATGTTAGAGGGAGTGGGGTATAGTGACACAGTAACAGAGGGATTGAGGGCCTGCTCAGTGAGTTTACATGCAAGAGGGAATGGGGTATAGTAACACAGTAACAGAGGGATTGAGGTACCTGCTCAGTGAGTTTACATGCTAGAAGGAGTGGGGTATAGTGACACAGGAAGAGAGGGACTGGGGGCCTGCTCAGCGAGTTTACATGTTAGAGGGAGTGGGGTATAGTGACACAGTAACAGAGGGATTGAGGGCCTGCTCAGTGAGCTTACATGTTAGAGGGAGTGGGGTATAGTGACAGTAACAGAGGGATTGTGGGCCTGCTCAGTGAGCTTATATGTTAGAGGCAGTGGGGTATTGTGACACAGTAAGAAAGGGATTGAGGGCCTGCTATGTCAGTTTAGATGTTAGAGGGAGTGGGGTATAGTGATACAGTAAGAGAGGGATTGAGGGCCCTGCTCAGTGAGCTTACATGGTAGAGGGAATGGGGTAGAGTGACACAGTAACAGAGGGATTCAGGGCCCTTAGTGAGCTTACATGCTAGAGGGAGTGGCGTATAGTGACACAGTAACAGAAAGATTGAGGGTCTGCTCAGTGAGTTTACATGTTAGAGGGATTGGAGTATAGTGACACAGTAACAGAGGGGTTGAGGGCCCTGCTCAGTGAGCCTACATGCTAGATAGAGTGGGGTATAGTGACACAAAGTGGTAGGGGTAATGCAATAGGTTGCTAGGAAAGTATTGTAACAGCACTCCGAGTATAGAAGGGGTTAAAGCCGTTTAGGATATTCCCTTCCCGAGTATAAAGGCAGCTACTGAACACTTCAATCAGTCGAACAAGAAGTATACGAATCATCCACACTTCAAACAGCCGAACAAGAAAGTACACGAATAATCCCCCCAAGTACGAGACAAGGCTCTGTATTGAGGGTCAAGCAGGAATCTGTTTAATCTGGGATACCTGCCCGCCTTTTATGCAGGTCTCCCACCAGGTGGACACTCCCATAGGGGTCCTGGTGGAAAACTGTGACAAAATGTTGCATTGACCAATCACAATAATACCCTCCTCTCTATCCTGGAGATAATTGTGAAGTAACTCAATTATCTCCAAGTATAGAGAATAAACTCCATTTTACAAGGCATAATAAAAATACATAAAAATATATAATTCACAAACTACCGAATGAAACACCCACATTTAACGGATCCCCAGATAGCTTAGATCTGAGCGCACATTATTACCGAATAGCGCTCAGATCACATACATACAGTTTAATCGCCATGGAGTTAAAGTCTTTCACATAGTCTTTCGTTATACGAATGGGCTCCATGGGATAGCTGTCTGGGGTGACTCTTTTCGTATGGCAACGTACCGAACGGTACAGCGTTCGTATGAACGGAAGAACAGACTTCAGCGGTGTTCGTGTGAAAATAGTGTCTGTTTTCAGTTCCATGAAATTGTCGACGTACACCATTGGGCATTCGTATGTCCAAGATGGCCGCCGCCACGTGTTCATTCATACGAAAAACGACCACCCAGCCGACATTCGACAATTAGGAAGTGTCTGCGGTTAACCACAAAGTTCTAATGAGGCCAAGAGGTTAACAAGCAGCACACTTCCATGCTGGGTGGCCGGCTGTTTGGCAGTTCTTGTGGTAAAAAGGGAATAAAGCGTAGGGACTGTACAGACGGGGAAATAGCCGAATAAACAGACGAACCGGCACAAAATAAAGGTAAATCACAGACAGAGAGGTCTGTCACAAGTATTCACTGAGAACTTTGGTTATTTTTAAAAGTTGCAGGAGGTGAATGAAAACCCACTAACAGTTTAAATTATATGCTTTCCTGAAGAAGTGTGTCTAACGGAGGAGGGAAAGAGGGAAGAGGGAAAGTTCCACATAAAAGGTGCAGCCCTGGACAATTCTTGGAGATGAGCAGCAGATGTGGGAGTGCAGACAGAGGATAGACGTAGGTCTTCAGCAGAGCGCAGGGGCCTCGACGGAACATACTTGTGTATTAGGGAGTGTGACGAAAGTAACCTCGTCACTGTCTTTTAGAGGGGCCTGCTGGCCAGCCTCATGCCTCAGGACTATGGGCCCTGCAATATACCTTGCCCAATGCACTTTAAAAGGCTCTGTTCATGGGAAGTATGTACTTTTGTACACCAGACAGAGAGACCGACCGCTGGCCCTAATTCTCTGGAACTGTTTTGAGCATTGGACCATGTGGGTCAAAACTATGACTTCCAGGAAATTCCAGAACCCCTGATCTGATCTGGATGATTTTTGGATATGTTGTTCACTCAGATCAGAACTATCAGGGGATGTGACTTATGGGGATATGTTGTATTTTGGGGTATGTATTGGAAAATGTGTGTTTTTTTCTGCCTGGGAATAATTAAGTTAATGTATTATCTGCCTTAATTATATCACAGGCAGAGGGGAGGTATTGTGTACTGTATGTGGGAGTGCCATTCACTGTCACATTGTTTTCTTTGGTTTGTACACTTTGTGACCCTATTCCCAACAAGGTCCACCTGGACGTCATCCTTGTTGGGAAACCTGCATAAAAGGCCAGATGTGGCTTCCATTAAACAGACTTACTTAACCCTCAATCTAGAGTCTTGTTTCTTATTGGGGATAACTGCTATATCACTACAAGGAATTGCTTGGATTCTCTGAGCTCCTGTAATAGCTATTCCTGCTTGACTCTCTGGAGGAAGAGAGGTTCACCCACTGGAACCTGGAGCCTTGTCGTAGGTCCAGGGTGGGTAGGAGACGGCGAGACCCCAACCAAGCTGCGGCGGTTGTGGGGTCTGCAGTGCTAATGGTGTCTGGTGGAGTGCTTGGAGCCCTTAATGAGCACTAGGAGCAGTATTATGTAGCAAGCACCAGAATCTTAAATTGAGCCCTATATCTAACTGGAAGCCAATGTAGGGTCTGACAAAGGAGGGAGGTGTGGGCAGACAGGAAAATGAGCCTTGCCACCACATTCATTATAGATTGCAGCAGTGAAATCTGGGAACACGTAAGACCACTGAGAAGGGGATTGCAGTAGTCAAGGCGAGAGAGAACAACAGCATGGGCCAGCACCTTAGCTGCGTCTGTTGTTAAATAGGGATGGATCCGAGATATGTTTTTATGATGTTACCCATATTTCAACTGATATCATTATACAAAGTGGAATTATTTGTATTATTATCATTTATATAGCACCAACAGATTCCGTAGCGCTTTACAATATTATGAGAGGGGGGATGTAACTATAAATAGGACAATTACAAGAAAACTTACAGGAACGATAGGTTGAAGAGGACACTGCTCAAACGAGCTTACAGACTATAGGAGGTGGGGTATAAAACACATTAGGACAGGAAATATCAATCAAAAAAGTGGGAGTGAGGCAGAGCTGGAGGAGAGAGTTTAGAGAGAGCAAGAGACAGGTGTATAAGGTAGAGGTTACTCTGGGAGGCCATATGCTTTCCTAAAGAGGGTTTTAAGGCACTTCTTAAAGGATTGAAGACTAGGGGAGAGTCTGATGGCAGTAGGCAGGCTATTCCATAGGAAGGGAGCCGCCCGCGAGAAGTCCCACAAGCGCGAGTTGGCTGTACGGGTGCGAGCAGTGGACAGGAGAAGGTCACGGGCAGAGCGGAGGGAACGAGGAGGGGCATACCTATGGATCTGTGAAGAGATATAAGAGGGGCTACAATTGTTCACTGCTGTATATGTATGGGTTAGCACTTTGAATTGACTCCTATAGGATACAGGAAGCCAATGTAAGAACTGACAGAGGGGTGAGATGTGAGAGGACCGACTAGAGAGGAAAATCAGTCTGATGGCAACCGAGACAGGACGAGGGGACACTAGATTGGAGTGACTGGCAGGAGGTGGGCTCACAGCACTCCCTTCTACCAGTCATTCTGTGTAGCATGGCTGAGCGGAGCTGAGCGAGCACTTCCTGTCAGTCTGGCCGGGTACAGGAAACTGAAGCTCCTGTACCGTAGTCTGCTCCGCTTGGCCACGCTACAAAGAGGTAGGAGGCACACCAGGGACCAAGGGGGTGGTAAGGAAGAACACTATGGGATGCGGGGATAAGAACACTATGGGACAGAGGGGAAAGAACTCTACGGGACAGGGGAGGAGGGGGGAAGAACACTATGGGACAAGGGAGAATCCTGGGTAGAAGACCCCCTGCCACGGGAAGTGGCAAACCCTGTATTTGGGTGGCAGGAACCAGAGACAAAGGGACTGAAGTTCCTGTCACACGCACAGGCCCTTGGGAGGGGGAGGACCCTGGGAGGGGACATGAAGTGGAGGGAACAAGGGACAAAGGGACTAGAGTTCCGGTTCCGATATACGACATCTGGGAGGGGACATTGTCTTTTACCTGCGTTCCACCCCCTTGCATGGGGAGAATATAAAGCCGAGAGTGGCCAATAAAGTTGTTGTTGTACCCCTGGAACTGTGTGTCGTCCAGTTACTGGGGGAAATTTATCTACTTTCATTTATCTCTTCTCGTCTCCCTGTTTTTGTCAGGGTCCCGCGGGCGGCTGCGAGGGGAGGTTGCAGTCCGCTCGCGGCACTCACCCTCCAGCCGTCCGCGGTCCCCTTCCTGGCGTGCGCTCGGCGGGCGGCATCCTCCCAGCCACGGATGCCGCCCGCATCTTTCTCTGTGTCCCCCAGCAGCAGCATGCATGACGTTGCATGCTGGGAGTCCGCCCATTTTAACAAACGCCGGAGTCAGTCATCTGACGCGGCGTTAAAGGCACAGTGCCTCAATCACAGTGGGAGGTTTAGATATCTCCCACGTGTGATTGTTAATTCTGATTGGAAATTATCCAATCAGAGTTAACCTATGGATTTAAATACTTACCTTTCCTGTTCCTCTCCGCCCTGTTGTGGTCTTTACTTGCTAGTATTACTACTGAACTTGTCTTTCTGGTTACGTACTCTCTGGCTTGTTTATCCGACTTTGGGACTTTCTCCTACCCTTTGACCTCGGCTTGTTTATCGTTATTCTGTCTTCTGGTTCCCCTTTACTCAGCTTGTTTCCTGACTATTCTTTGTGTGCTTAGCCCGGCCACTCTAAGGTCCGGTACTGCACTTTGTGTGTGTGTGTGTGTTGGTGTGTTTGGTTCCCCGAATCGTGACAGTTTTATTCTTACTACTGCACTACTTTGAGATTCATGATTCCTTTTTGGAACACCTCTCGACACCTGCTTATCAACAGTGAGTGGGAACTCTAGTTTAATTGTGTAGTGTTTACTGTTTTACAGATACTGACCCCCTCCTCTATTTACAGGGTTATCAGAGGAAACGTGTGTCCATCTACTTTTATTCTTAATCCTGTGTACTACTTACTTATTTTAATACAGGTCTCTACTACTATACATCGTTATTTAGACGTTGTTACCTTGTACATTGGACCATTCATAATAAAGTCTGTATAATACAATGTAGCCATTTCCGGGAATCTCCTCTATACCTTCATCTAATCTGTTTTCCAGTTTTATATTTGGGTTCATGCCCTGGCTAGGCAGGTACTACCCACACTGACACTGTTCCATTGAGAGCAGTGCTCCTCTTTTGTTGAGTGCCCGCTCTCGGTGAGACACTTTATTTTTACACCATGAAACAGACACACACTGTCTCACATACCATCCTGAACGTGCACACACCAAATCACGTACACATCTTACAGACACATGGTCAATGCTTATTAAAAAATATTTCATTCCCAAAATAATAATATGGTGTCCATGAATACAGCATGGGTGCAGTGCTTTTGTTGGCACTCTGTCCCTCTAGTTCAGAGTTCTCCAAACTCTGGCCCTCCAGATGTTGCTTAACTACAACCCCACAATTCTTTGAATGAAATAGATAGCCAGAGAATCATGGGAGATGCAGTTCAGCAATATCTGGAGGGCCAGAGTTTGGAGAACCCTGCTCTAATTAAATGATAAAATGTGACATAAAACTGTGCTCATAGTGTCAGCAATACAACTTGAAGATGTTATTTTAATAACTTTTAAACCAGCAGTTAGTTTATAAACTCTGGGCACAGAGCATCACCAGGTTTGAGCCTGTCATTTCTCAGGTATTCCTGAAGAGGGCAGAATACCACATCAGGGTAACTGCGCTATCCTTGAAGAATAAATTGTGAATAAGCTAGTTTTGGTGTATAGGTCATGCCCCTGCGATATAACTGCTCTGTTCTCTGCCGTTTAGGAGTTAAACCACTTTTGTTTCTGTTTATGCAGCTCTAGCAACATATCCCCTGGCTGTGACCGACACAGCCTGCATGAAAACAAAATGGTTCCATTTTCAATCAGATCTTGCAGCACACTATGTTTACTTTAGAAGTTATTGTCTCCTGTTCTGTTATTGAACACACAGGAGGCTGCTGCATGCTCTCAATAGGGCAGGAGATAAGCAAGTCTAAATTAAACAGACTTTGCAATAAAGGAAGTGAAAACATTGTTTAGGAGGGCGGTGTGAGTCACACGCAGTGTTGTATAAACAAAGTGATTTAACTCCTAAATGGAAGATAATTGAGCAGTAAGACTTCAGGAGTATGATCTATACTCAAAAATCACTTTAAAAAGCTGAAGTTATTTTGGAGCTCATAGTATTTCTTTAAGAACCATTTGCATTGGTTTAAATTATAAGTGTGTTTTCCTCCTTGGGAAAATGACTTGTATAGTGTAACCTATTGGACACCAAAACTATGAGGTTTCATGACTGTGGCTACATGTCCTCCACTCTTCCACATGACAAAACATGTTTCATTTGTATTTAAATAAGAGCCTTTGATTGTGTTATCTCTATATCTCCCTTATATTCATAATATCTACTCACTTTCTGTAGGACACAAGTGGTTTGGACAGAAGAAGGACACGAAGAATCGTCTGTAAGCGTCCTTCAAGACACCAAAATGTTGGCCGATATACATCATTTACCACGTGACATCGAGACTCAAGGAAGAAACGGAAACAAGGTGCAGACACCAAGCGAGGTCTCTGGTTAGATCAACGTTCCCACAATAAAATAAATTACATGTTTAATGAATAGTTATTGCAATTCCACACATTTTGTGACAAAGGCATTTTCTATGCTATCAGTAAAATCCTCTTCTTTCCTAGCCGGAGCCCGTACCATACGAACCACTACTCTACAACCCAGAGCCCCAACCGTTACCATTCTATTATTGTATATGAAGTAGGGATCGACCGATATTGATTTTTTAGAGCCGATACTGATAATCTGTGAACTTTCAGGCTGATAGCCGATAACTTGCAGATATTCTGTACATTTACCATTTTGAAAAAATACAACAATTTCTATATGCACAAAAGTGATGAGCCCGGCAGTCCTGGTATATATTATCGGCAATATCGGTATCTTTATTGGCCGATACCGATATTGCTGAAAATACCAAATATCGCCCGATTATATCGGTAAAACCAATAATCTGTCGATCCCTAATATGAAGCCTAATCCATTTCATCCTCTTCTTCCCTAGCCGGAGCACATAACCATACCATTCTCTACTCTCCAACCCATAGCCCATACCCTTACCATTCTTTACTCTCGTATATGGAGCCCATACAATTTAGGAAATGAATAGTGATTGCAATTCCACACATTTTGTGACAAAGGCATTTTCTATGCTATCAGTAAAATCCTCTTCTCTCCTAGCTGGAATCCATAACCATACCATTCTCTCCTAGCCTGAGGATCCTACCCATACCATTCCCTTTACTCCTCTTTGTCAGAGTCCCTACCCATTCCATCCTATACTCTCCTACCTGGAGCCCCTACCCATCTTCTACTCTCCTAGACTGAGCCCCTACAATTAGTATCCTCTACTCTCCTACCATTACCATCCTCTACCCTCCTAGACTGAGCCCCTACCATTACCATCCTCTACTCTCCTACCTGGAGCCCCTACCCATCCTCTACTCTCCTAGACTGAGCCCCTATTTGTTACCATCCTCTACTCTCCTAGACTGAGTCCCCACCATTACCATCCTCTACTCTCCTAGACTGAGCCCCTACAATTAGTATCCTTTACTTTCCTAGACTGAGCCCCTACCCATTACCATCCTCTACTCTCCTAGACTGAGCCCCTACCATTACCATCCTCCACTCTCCTACCTGGAGCCCCTACCCATCCTCTACTCTCCTAGACTGAGCCCCTACAATTAGTATCCTCCACTCTCCTACCTGGAGCCCCTACCCATCCTCTACTCTCCTAGACTGAGTCCCCACCATTACTATCCTCTACTCTCCTAGACTGAGCCCTTACCATTACCATCCTCTACTCTCCTAGACTGAGCCCTTACCATTACCATCCTCTACTCTCCTAGACTGAGCCCATACAATTAGTATCCTTTACTCTCCTAGACTGAGCCCCTACCCATTACCATCCTCTACTCCCCTAGACTGAGCCTTATCCATCACCATCCTCTACTCTCCTAGACTGAACCCTTACCATTACCATCCTCTACTCTCCTAGACTGAACCCTTACCATTACCATCCTTTACTCTCCTAGACTGAACCCTTACTCTCCTAGACTGAGCCCCTACCAATACCATCCTCTACTCTCCTAGACTGAGCCCTTACCCATTACCATCCTCTACTCTCCTAGACTGAGCCCCTACCATTACCATCCTCTACTCTCCTACCTGGAGCCCCTACCCATCCTCTACTCTCCTAGACTGAGCCCCTATTTATTACCATCCTCTACTCTCCTAGACTGAGTCCCCACCATTACTATCCTCTACTCTCCTAGACTGAGCCCTTACCATTACCATCCTCTACTCTCCTAGACTGAGCCCTTACCATTACCATCCTCTACTCTCCTAGACTGAGCCCATACAATTAGTAGCCTTTACTCTCCTAGACTGAGCCCCTACCCATTACCATCCTCTACTCCCCTAGACTGAGCCTTATCCATCACCATCCTCTACTCTCCTAGACTGAACCCTTACCATTACCATCCTCTACTCTCCTAGACTGAACCCTTACCATTACCATCCTTTACTCTCCTAGACTGAACCCTTACCATTACCATCCTCTACTCTCCTAGACTGAACCCTTACTCTCCTAGACTGAGCCCCTACCAATACCATCCTCTACTCTCCTAGACTGAGCCCTTACCATTACCATCCTCTACTCTTCGAGACTGAGCCCCTGCCATGACCATTCTCTTCTCTCTGCCGAGCTAGAGCCCAGCCTGTTCAAAAATTTCACAGTGGTAAATGTTCTATATTAAAGAACATACTGTCCAAAAGACAAAAGTAATTGTTAATGTAATTTTTTTTAAATGTATTAAATAAATGTTGCAAAGCACATGAGACACTGATGGTGACTGGGAACCATGGCGAGTGGATGCAGGTGTTGTGGGCTGCTCTGTCCCCCCGGCAGTGTAGGGTTGGTGTGCTTTGTTGTCCATTTATTTTACTAGACGAGGGGGTGCAGGTGTGGTGGGCTGCTCTGTCCCCCCTGCAGTGTGGGGTTGGTGTGCTGTGTTGTCCATTTATTTTACTAGACGAGTGGATGCAGGTGTGGTGGGCTGCTCTGTCCACCCTGCAGTGTAGGGTTGGTGTGCTGTGTTGTCCATTTATTTTACTAGACGAGAGGGTGCAGGTGTGGTGGGCTGCTCTGTCCCCCCTGCAGTGTAGGGTTGGTGTGCTGTGTTGTCCATTTATTTTACTAGGTGAGAGGGTGCAGGTGTGGTGGGCTGCTCTGTCCCCCCTGCAGTGTGGGGTTGGTGTGCTGTGTTGTCCATTTATTTTACTAGACGAGTGGATGCAGGTGTGGTGGGCTGCTCTGTCCCCCCTGCAGTGTGGGGTTGGTGTGCTGTGTTGTCCATTTATTTTACTAGACGAGAGGGTGCAGGTGTGGTGGGCTGCTCTGTCCCCCCTGCAGTGTGGGGTTGGTGTGCTGTGTTGTCCATTTATTTTACTAGACGAGGGGGTGCAGGTGTGGTGGGCTGCTCTGTCCCCCCTGCAGTGTGGGGTTGGTGTGCTGTGTTGTCCATTTATTTTACTAGACGAGTGGGTGCAGGTGTGGTGGGCTGCTCTGTCCCCCCTGCAGTGTGGGGTTGGTGTGCTGTGTTGTCCATTTATTTTACTAGACGAGGGGGTGCAGGTGTTGTGGGCTGCTCTGTCCCCCCTGCAGTGTGGGGTTGGTGTGCTGTGTTGTCCATTTATTTTACTGACCCAGGGTGCAGGTGGTGGGGTCGCTCTGTCCCCTGCAGGCTGGTGTAGCCGTAGTTGTCCATTTATCTTACTAGACGCAGAGGGTGCAGGTGTGTGGTGGGCTGCCTGTCCTCGTAGGGTTGCTGGTGTGCTGTGTTGTCCATTTATTTCCATTGTGACGAGAGGGCAGGTGTGGTGGGTTGCCTGTCCAATCTGCAGTGTAGGGGTTGGTGTAAAGGTGTTGTCCATTTATTTCTTACTAGGGGGTGAGTGGATGCAGGTGTGGTGGTTGCTCACCCTGCAGTGTGGGGGGCTGGTGTGCTGTGTTGTCCATTTTATTTTACTAGACTCCAGAGGGCGCAGGTGTGGTGGGCCGCTCTGTCCACCCTGCAGCAGGGTTGGTGTGCTGTGTTGTCCATTTATTTTACTAGACGAGAGGGTGCAGGTGTGGTGGGCTGCTCTGTCCACCCTGCAGTGTAGGGTTGGTGTGCTGTGTTGTCCATTTATTTTACTAGGTGAGTGGATGCAGGTGTGGTGGGCTGCTCTGTCCACCCTGCAGTGTGGGGTTGGTGTGCTGTGTTGTCCATTTATTTTACTAGACGAGAGGGTGCAGGTGTGGTGGGCTGCTCTGTCCACCCTGCAGTGTAGGGTTGGTGTGCTGTGTTGTCCATTTATTTTACTAGACGAGAGGGTGCAGGTGTGGTGGGCTGCTCTGTCCCCCCGCAGTGTAGGGTTGGTGTGCTGTGTTGTCCATTTATTTTACTAGGTGAGAGGGTGCAGGTGTGGTGGGCTGCTCTGTCCCCCCGCAGTGTAGGGTTGGTGTGCTGTGTTCCTGACACTTTATTTAATGTAATAATATATTAGTTTTATAATCGTTGTTTACTCTACCTATATTGCAGTTACAAGTCTAATACCTGGAAGTAAAAATTTTATTTACATCATCTCTTTGTTTGTGATATTTAAAACAGGGCACTAAGGCAGACTGAGCAGGAGATGCAGTTAATGATTTACCGAGCACACTGACCTTGCAGACGTGTCTCCAGTAATAGTAGAGGTAAGTGGTGCCAATCCCCAGGAGGAAGCAGGAGAGAGATTGTGCCATGCTGGGAGTTGGTTCCTGAGAGCCTCCTGGCATTTTACACACTCACTGAGCAGGCACTCACATACAATTCAAGGCTAATATGACACACACAGAGCTCACACAATGTCACACACACAGAGCTCACACAATGTCACACACACAGAGCTCACACAATGTCACACACACAGAGCTCACACAATGTCACACACACAGAGCTCACACAATGTCACACACAGAGCTCACACAATGTCACACACACAAGGCTCACACAATGTCACACACAGAGCTCACACAATGTGACACACACAGAGCTCACACAATGTCACACACACAGAGCTCACACAATGTTACACACACAGAGCTCACACAATGTGACACACACAGAGCTCACACAATGTCACACACAGAGCTCACACAATGTGACACACACAGAGCTCACACAATGTCACACACAGAGCTCACACAATGTGATACAATGTATCAGTCTCCTCTTTCTTTTTAATTTCCTCTGTGGGTGGAGTTTACACAAGTCATCGCCCAATCACAGTTCCTCTTCCCCTGCCCTTTACAGACAGCGAGGACACCATATTTGTTTAGGGAAGAAGATTTAACCTTTAAAAGCCTGGATAAATATTGAACTATGTACCAAGTTTGACTTTAGTGAATAAGGAATTAATAATACATTTCAAAGTTTAGCTTGAAACAACCAAAATGTAAATGGAGATGACTTGGAGATAAAAGATAAAATAACCACGTACAGCCCATGAAAGTCTATTATACATAATCCGAGGGCTTTGGTCACAAAACTGTTTCATATTAAAAAGTTACTCCACCTTCATGTGGAGTAACCTAGGCCCCTCTCTCATGTTATGGCCAAGGGCTGGGGCTGCAGCCCCCCATTTATTATAATGGCCCCCCTTGCAGTGCAGGGGTCGCACACTTTACCCCCCCAGTTAATTCGTTTATTATATGCCCCACCACAGGGCCATGGAGGACCTGTGCCAGATTCCCTTTATTGGATTATTGACTGGGCAGCAATAGCATTGCACCGATGCTCACTGTTTAGTAGACATGCCCTTACTCGCAACACACTGGGTAGTGGCAGGAGCACAGCTCCCCGACACGTCTATTTTTAAATATTACAAGGAGAGAGACGTGAACTGGTAGCTCCGTCCTTGTTGTAAACTAAAGCAAAATAACTAATTGAAGGACACAAAGAAATGATCTTTGTTTCATTCGTTTTAATTTGTATTCATTAATTTGTCTTATGGACAAACGGAAAAATGTGTTCGTCGGAAAACGAGTGCCCAAGTCTAGTCACCAGAGAGTAGGTTCTCAAAAAGGACTATATGAGGTTGCTGATACTGCTCAGCACCATTCCCCATGGAATGAAGATCAAATGGATGCAGCAACCCCCAGTGGAAGCACTGGCATCGGGACAGAGGGCTATTGGCCTCCGCACCCAACTTGCTGCTGTTCCTGCAGTTGTGGGTGTGTGTGTACAGAGTTATTGACTGGGCAGCAATAGCATTGCACCCACATTTGTGCTTGAGCTCAAGGAGCTTACCCAGGGCTGCTATCAGACATTTTCGGACCCCTGACGCAGCTCAAGGTCTGGGCCCCTGGGGCCTTCCCCGAGCCCACCTACAGGGCCGCCTCCGAGTCTGCCCACAGGGCTGTAACCAAGTCTGTCAACATGGCCTACCCTCAAATCCACCCACAGGGCCCATCCTGAGTCCACCCACAAGGATGTAGTGTGTGAATGCAGAGTGCGTGTTTGTGCAGTGGAAGTAGTGTTTGTGTGTCCTCACATTTTCTGAAACTCAATCTCTCTAAAAATGAACTCCTTGTTGTAGCGGTTACCCCGTGTTGCAGAGGGGTTTCAACCACTGGAGGGTGTCCTTTTCCTGATCAGTGAGGAGGATTCTCAGCATTCAGTCGTGATCCAAGTGAAGAAGCTCTTACAAGAGCTAGTGTGAATAGCTGTATAGCGGTTACCCCCAATAAGAGACAGGACTCTAGATTGAGGGTGAAGTACAACTGAGGTTTGATGGCAGTGCTCCCATGCAAGGGAGATACCCACAGACAATTAGACATTAACCAATCAGACAACGGTTACATCCCACAGATTGCCTCCCCTCTGCTTTGGGGATAATTGGTATCTACTCAATTATCTCCAAACTAAAACTTATACTTTTTTATGCATTGTTATAACTTTATGATTTTTCATCCTACAGGAATAAAACTTATATTTTTTTGAACAACACAACTTGGGGACAAACAGATTCAAAATTCGGTCTATTTCTGCCTTGAAAAATAACAAAGTCCCATCCGAAGGCGGCGTTCAAATAGTCGAAGTGTCGAAGTAAAACGGGGTTAAGTTTCAGCGGTGGTCGTTAGTTAAGTGACAGTCCATTTTACACGAAAAAGATGACAAAGTCCCATTCGAACGTGCGTTCCATCTTCGAATGGGACTTAGTCTCCAGCCGCAGTGTCGAAGGGTAGGGGAAGGTACAGGTCAGCAGTGTTCATTCAAATGTGTGGCTGATTTCCGTTCCAGGAATTTGACGGCACACACCGTGACCGCGTTCGACTGCATTAAAATGGCCACCGCCACGTGTTCAATTGTCTAATGACTGTATCCGAAGTGCCATATCAAACGTACCCATTCTTTGCACAACACAGTTATGAGTCAGAAACAGTCTTTGTTCTTAGGTGCAGGGCAATGTGGATGATGGCAGGAAAACAAAAGGTAGAGGTTCCCAGGCAACATGGTAGGAGGCTGGTACAACATATATTACAGATCCAACGCAAAACAGGGGGATCTGTTACACTTGTCTTTCCTCCTCCTAATACTGATCCTCCTCTCTCGCTCTGTCTTGGCGTCATACTTGACTCTGGCCTCACCTTTGATCCTCACATCCAGTTTGTTGCCAAATCCTGTAGGTTCCAACTTAAAAACCTAGCCCGCATCCGCCCCTTTCTTACGCAAGATGCTACCAAGGAGCTTGTCCATGCTCTAGTAATTTCCCACATGGATTACTGTAACCCTCTCCTGATTGGTCTCCCCAAAAACCGTATAGCCCTGCTACAGTCTGTAATGAATGCTGCCGCCAAACTAATATACCTCTCTAGTCGGTCCTCTCACACCTCACCCCTCTGCCAGTCCTTACATTGGCTCCCTGTATCCTATAGGAGTCAATTCAAAGTGCTAACCCATACATTTAAAGCACTGGACTATTCTAGCCCTTCTTATATCTCTTCACTGATCCATAGGTATCCATAGACCACCTTCTGACCGCTGCTCGCACCCATACGGCCAACTCGCGCTTGCAGGACTTCTCGCGGGCAGCTCCTTTCTTATGGAATAGTCTGCCTACCGCCATCAGACTCTCCCCTAGTCTTCAATCATTTAAGAAGGGCCTTATAAACCATCTCTTTAGGAAAGCTAATGGCCTCCCAGAGTAACCGCTACCTTACATACCTGTCTCTTCCTATAGGACAGTGCTTTACTCTCTCCTCCAGCTCTGCTTTACTTCCACCCTATTTGATTGATATTTCCTGTCTTAACATGTCTTATACCCCACCTCCTATAGACTGTAAGCTCGTTTGAGCAGGGTCCTTGTAACAGAGCTCCAGTACTCCAACCGAGTACCTCCGTTGATGGATGCTCCAAGTGCTTCCCGAGCGCTCCAAGGACTCATCCAGACACCATAAGCACTGCAGACTGAACCTCTCTTCCTTCAGAGCGAAGCAGGAACAAGCTCTTAAAAGAGCTTAGTAATTATAGCCAAGGGAGTATACAGAGTATAGCAATCCCCAGTGTAGATGCAGCCTTTTCCCCCACACATGAGACGATGTTGAGGGTAAAACAGGAACTCACAGAGCTGTGGCTTTATTGTTCCTTATATACACATTTTTACACAATGTTACCACCCACACGGTTTTGTAGCACAGCCAATCAAATACACTATAATCAGGCCCGGACTGGCCATCGGGCACACCGGGCAAATGCCCGGTGGGCCGCGGTGGCCGTGGGGCCGAGGCCGGCAGGGAGGTCCCAGGATCTCCCCTGCCGGTCTATGCAGGGCCGGCACTCTCCTAGCGCCGGCCCCGCTGTTTGCCACGACGGGCCGGTGGGGAGATCAAGGATCTCCCTGACCGGCCCACATGCGGCCGCCGGCGGGGAGAGGGAGACAGCCAGCCAGGCTGGAGAGAGGACCCGGCGGAGCTCTAACTTGCAGCTCCGCCGGGTTCCTCTCGCGAGATCTGGCGCGTTGCCATGGCAACGACCGGATCTCGCGAGAGTGAACTCTAGCCTCACAGGCTAGAGTTCACTCACCCACGAGGACCACCAGGGAACACTGCCACCCTGCCTGCCAGCGTGCCGGTCCCCCCCTCCCTTCCAGGCTAAAGGTAAGAAGGGGGGGGGGAATAATGCCTGTTTTTTTTATTTTATTTTTTTATTTACCCCCCCCTACACACACACACAATAACATTTATACAGCACTCTCACACCCATCACACACAGCACTCTCACACCCATCACACTCACAGCACTCTCACAGAGCACTCTCACACACACACAGCATTCTCTCACACAGCACTCTCACACCCATCACACTCACAGCACTCTCACAGAGCACTCTCACACCCATCTCACACAGGGCACTCTCACACGGCACTCTCACACCCATTACTCACACCGCACCCTCACACACACACATACTGCACCCCTCACATACACACAGAACCCCCCCAACACACTGCACCACACACATACACAATACTTCCAAATATATATATGTGTGTGTGTGTGTGTGTGTATATATATATATATATACACACACACACACACACACACAACACTCTTAAAGGACCACTCTAGCCACCCAGAACACTTCAGCTTAATGAAGTGGTCTTGGTGCTAGGTCCTTCTAGGGTTAACCCTAGAGAAACTGCTATGTTTATCAATGGGTTAAGCCTTCCCCCAAAGCCTCTAGCAGCTGTCTCATTGACCGCCGCTAGAGGCATTATAAATGCTTTCCTATGCGACCGGCTGAATGCGAGCGCAGCTCTTGCTGCGCGTGCGCATTCAGCCGACGGGGCGGATCGGAGGAGGAGAGCTCCCCGCCCGGCGCTGGAAAAAGGTAAGTTTTAACCCTTTTCCAGAGCCGGGCGGGAGGGGGTCCCTGAGCCACATATGCATCACATTACACCACAAACACAACACGACTAAAACCGACCTTATTACACAATACCACACCGCGACCAGCTCACTCTACACACACGCAATACCACAAGCAGGCTCCAAACACATGTACAATACTCTTTCCTGGCCTTTTGTCTCCTGGTATCCATTTATAGAGACACCAGAGACAAGTTGCAAGGAAAGACAGTGCAAGCATGTTATTAAATTTGCTTGCACTGTGCAGAACAAATACAGGACTTTTTCTCATGCTAGAGCTCTTCAGCAGAGCTCTGCGCATGGTCTGCCCTGGAAGAGCATTGAACCAACATGCTCACTTTGAGAGGAGGCGTGTTTGTCATTGGTGATGACAAAACACACCTCCTATGCCCCGCCCCCTTTTTAGTGGGCCGCTGTGTTAAAAAAATGCCCGGGCCGAATTTTTCTCCCAGTCCGGCCCTGACTATAATACAGTTAAACCCTCCCAGTCAGGACAAACAAACCCTCCTCTCTGCCTGTGATATAATTACTGTACACAATGGGCTAATGTAATTATCACAGGCAGGAAAATACACAGTTTTACACAAAATTCATAACTTTAAAAGTATACCTTACATATTCTGAACCAGCATACACAGTATACAAACATATGTCAAAATCATACAAATTGGTCAAGTGGTTCAAACGTTAGATGGAAGTCCTTTTTGACCGACTGCAAGCATGGCTTTTCTGCCCCAAACCAGTTCCACAGAGTTAGGCTGTGCAGCCGGTCTATCTTCTCCTCTATCCTGGAGATAATTGGCTTAAAGGGACTCTCCAGGCAGAGTAGTTTACTCACCTTGTTCCAGCACCGGGAGCCTCGTGAAGCCACGCCCCCTATTTCGTCAAAATGACTAAATAGGCGGGTGCGAGCAGGGAGCAATCAGATGCTTCTATTCATGCCGCCCTCTAAAGTCCTGAGCCCACTACCGCGCATGCGCGCGGTGTGCCTGCCCGTGAGCTGAGCTGACTGACAGTGTTTACATTAGATTGCCTGCAGGGAACTATATATGTCACCTGAACAAATACATTAAGCTGTAGTTGTTCAGGTGACTATAGTGTCCCTTTAACTGGGTGTGGTAAGCCAATTATCTCCAGGTACAGAAAATATCTCCATTCACAACAGCAACAAAAATACACAAAAATACATAATTCCCATTACACTATCCCCAGACAGCTTGGATCTGAGCGCTCAATATATCCGAACAGAGCTCAGATCCCACAAACAGAATAAAATCGCCATGGGGTTAAAGTTTAGCCCAGCTGATGAGAGTTTGAGGAGGGACACTGGGGACACAGTTTTAAAGGGGCATTGCCACAAAAGGTCTTAACATGCCCATATACTGTTTTTAAAGGACCATACACCCCAGGGCCATAATCATGGGGAAGGAGGCTGGCAATCAGGCTTCTCCATAAGCCAGGGGAACAGGGTAGTTTGTCACATGAAAAACCAGTGACAAAAGGCCTTTTGTCACAGTCCTCTTCAACCTATTGTTCCTGTAAGCTTTCATGTTGAATTTATTGTCATATTTATAGTTATATTCCCCCTCTCATAATATTGTAAAGCGCTACGGAATCTGTTGGCACTATATAAATAGCAATAACAATAATAATAATATTAGATGCAGTGTGTATAGTGACTGTGTCTAGTGAATGCAGAGTGTGTTTGTGTAGTGAGTGCAAAGTGTGTTTGTGTAGTGGATGTAGTGTGTAGTGAGTGCAGAGTGTGTGTTTGTGTAGTGAATGTAGTGTGTGTAGTGACTGCAGAGTGTGTATTGTGAAGTGGATGCTGTGTGTATGAATGCAGAGTGTGTGTTTGTGTAGTGAATGCAGTTTGTGTAGTGGATGTTGTGTGTGTGTGTTGAGTAGTGGATGCTGTGTGTATGTTGAATGCAGTGTGTGTTTGTGTAGTAGATGATGTGTGTGTAGAGTAAATACGATGTGTGTGTTTATGTAATGAATGCAGTTTGTGTAGTGGATGCAGTGTGTGTTTGTGTAGTGGATGTGTGTGTGTGTTTGTGTAGTGGGTGGGTGTGGGTGTTTGTGTAGTGGATGTGTGTGTGTGTTTGAGTGGTGGATGCTGTGTGTGTGTTTGTGTAATGGATGATGTGTGTATAGTGAATATGGTGTGTGTTTGTGTAGTGAATGCGGATTGTGTAGTGGATGCTGTGTGTGTTTGTGTAGTGGATGCTGCATGTGTATAGGCCCTGTGGAGATAGCGCAGCTAAGCGGACAAGGGCACATGTAGGAGTTTAGGAGGTTAGGTTCAATGTGAGTTAGTGTGGGGGAGGTCTTACCTCAGTGCCCATTGGGATTCGGGCCAGCAAACAGCTTCTTCTCATCCTCCAGCTCCTGTTTGCCTGGGCCTTTAGTCTTCACAGCTTGAGGGATGGAGGTTGAGGCGATCCTGGCGTCCCTCAGGGCTGCAGCTGCGCTGGATGGTGGCCGGCGACTGAGGGAGCAATTTGGGCACATTAGTGGAGGTATGGCTACCGGTGTGGGCCCCCCCGCGGTCTACCTTCCCCTGGAGCACCCCCTGCTGCCTCCCATGCGGTCCCTGCCCCTGGGGGCCACACCAGCACTGGCAGGCGTTCCCCCCCACCTGCCAGGCTGTCACCAGACAACACTCCTCGGGCACGGTTGAGGAGCAGGAGCCTGGGCCCGAGGCATCGCCGGGACCGCGTGTCTGGGGCTCCAGACATGCAGCCTGGGTCCGGTGGCCGTGATTTGCGGCCTTCCACAGCTGTGCGCGTGGCACAGCCTGCTCCCTCAAGGCCTGAGGTGAGGCCTTCATCTGCTGCGCGCCCGGAGGCCTGGTGCGCGGCCTACCCGGCGGGCTCCACATGCCCGGCCGGTTCCCCTGACTCCTGCCCCTGGAACGTGGTTCCGTGGAACCGTGGTACCGCCGTTGGGGGTGCGGGGGGGGTCCCCTTGTGGGTCGGGAGCCTCCTCTGCCAGTGAGGAAGGCCAGTGGCATCTCTAGGATTCATTTTTAGGGGGGGCACATGGAGGGCCAGGGACAAAAGTAGGGGGGCACATTTAACCCCGCCCTCGCCGCAGTTTGACCCCGCACCTGTCGCATGTTAAAGCCCGCCCCTGAAACAATGTGCTTTGTTTTTTTAATAATCCCTGGTAGAGGATTCATTATTTTACACCAGGGATTATTAAAAAAACAAGCACATTACCCCTGATACAGTGCCATAGTTGCCAACATTTGATAAAAAAATTCCAAGGACATTTTGCAGCACAGCTATCAATTACTGTCTGGGTATAATATCCCTGGACAGTCAGTGCTCTCTGTATAATACAGGGTTGTGTGTATAATAAATTGGGACAGTCAGTGCTCCCTGTATAGTGCTGCTCTCTGTATAATACAGGTCTGTTTGTGTATAATATCCCAAGACAGAGAGCAGCACTATACTGGGAGCACTGACTGTCCCGGGATATTATACAGGCACAGGCCTGTATTATACAGAGAGCAGCACTATACAGGGAGCACTGACTGTCCCGGGATATTATATACACACAGATCTGTATTATACAGATAGCTGAGCATATACCCCATGTCCCAATCTATAGACTACTAGTACCAATCTGTAGACTACTAGTACAGCTCCCAGACGCGTGTAACAGGGCTAAAGTGTGCGGCAGCTTACACAGATGATTCAGCGGTAAAGTGCACTTGCTGGCAGAGCCAAACTGGGAATCCCTGGGAATCCAAAGCAGCCCTGGAAAAAAAATGTATGCCATTCCTACAAGTCAATATATATATATATATAGTACAGTAAGCACACAAGCTCACTGACATGCGCAAATAGGCTTACTGACAGACAAAACTCTCTGACACACACAAGCTTACTACAGACAAACTCACTTGCATAAACAGAAGGCTCACTACAAAGAAGTTCAGGGACACACACAAGCTCACTAAAGACAAGTTCACTGACACACACATGCTCACTAAATAGAAGCTAACTGACACACACAAGCTGTACCATTTTAACAGGCTTAAGGGCCCCCGGGCAAAGCAATGCATTGGGGCCCTTCCTACACAACAACTCACAGGAATTTTAATTATTGATAGACTGCTGAGTCCATACACACACACACACACAGACTGCTGAGTCCACACACACACAGACTGCTGAGTCCACACAGACACACACACAGACTGCTGAGTCCACACAGACACACAGACTGCTGAGTCCACACAGGCACACACACAGACTGCTGAGTCCACACACACAGATTGCTGAGTCCACACAGACACACAGACTGCTGAGTCCATACACACACAGACAGACTGCTGAGTCCACACAGACACACACAGACTGCTGAGTCCGTGCACACACACACAGACTGCTGAGTCCATACACACACACACAGACTGCTGAGTCCACACAGACACACACAGACTGCTGAGTCCGTGCACACACACAGACTGCTGAGTCCACACAGACACACACAGACTGCTGAGTCCGTGCACACACACACAAACTGCTGAGTCCATACACACACACACACACACACACCAAGCCTACCTGTCACTGGAGGCTGTTGCTGGGGGTCAGACAGCCATCTTCTGCAGCAGCATGGTCTTCTGCTTTACGGCAGGGCGGGGCTTATGTGCGAGAGGCGGAGATTCGTTTGGGGGTGGGGCCTGTGCCAGGGAGCCAATCAGTGCTCCCTCCAGCCACGGACAGCCCTCAGCACTGCATTCCCTCCCCGGGCTGTCACAGACACACTCACTGTTAAAGTCCGAAGGAAGAACACAGCCAGCACGTTGCATTTGGGGCCCCTCTGGCCCCCCCCTAGCGACGCCACTGAGGAAGGCTCCCGGTATTCTCTCTCCCCTGTCCCCTCCCATGTGGTTTCCGCGATGGGGTCCCCTGTGGGTCCTCCCCCCCCTTCCTCCTTTCCTGCCCCCCCCCCCATTTCTGCCCTTCCCTCCCCTGGTGCCTATCCTGTGGTCCCCTCTGCTCTCCCCCCCCACCTTGCCTGGGCCCCCTCCCCACCGCAGGTCACTTACTTCGGCCATCTCCTCTAGGGCGTGGGCTCACGTCTTCTCGACTGCTCTCTTCTCAGGATACTGCCGCAGTTCATGGACCCGTCCAGCAGGTGGTGCCTGGAACACAGCTGATGTCTTCTCTGGATGCTGGAACCCATTTTTCAGTGCCTCAGTCTTCTGTGAATGCAGTACAGGGTTTGGATTGCCAAGATGCAGCCGGTGAGTACAATGTTCCCTCCTCTATTGCCGCTTCGGGTCTCGGGCTGCGGGGTTTCACTCGGGTCTTTGCGTTTTTTGAATCAGTGGGAACGGGGGGGCGGCGAGTAGGGGACACACCTCTGTGGATAGTCAGCTATGATCTGTTTGGTCCCCCGCGCAGCTCCCCCCTGCAGTTCAGACCCCCCCCCCTCCTGGCCCACTTTCAGTAGTGGGTAGTTGTTCGTTGCCCCTGGGTCCCCCGGGACTCACGGTGGCCGGTGTTTGTGCACCCGTGGGTGACGCTCCCCCCGAGGTGGGTGTTGCAGACTTGGCGCAGCTTATATGTGCTGTTCTGGCCCTCTGGGTCTGCACTTAAAGCAGGAAACGAGGGAGAAAATTTGTTAGGGTGAGTTCATCAAGATATTTTCTCTCCTGCCGCTGGAGGAAGCTCCTCCCATAGTGGAGAAAGACAGTAAGGATAAAACGAAAAGAAAAAAATGTAAACTGCGCTTTTATAAAATATGAATAATACATACATATACTTGTCGGTAATTCCAATGAGTCAGAGATCTCGGAATAAATAAAATAAAAGGAATAATAGTGCAAAACAGGAACAATAAATATTATGAGATGGTGATTATAGCTTATAGTTCAATCCACTCACATTTGTATGAGCTATAACAGAGCTCAGCTGTAGTGCGCTTGGACGGTATAATCCCCGTTTTAGGATGTGATGTTCCAATTGGTCCAAATTAGTGATGTCCCAAACGGCCCGCGAACGGTTCTCCACGGACTCATCATTGAGTAAACTTTGACCCTGTACCTCACAGTCAGCAGACACATTCCAGCCAATCAGCAGCAGACCCTCCCTCCCAGACCCTCCCACCTCCTGGACAGCATCCATTGTGAAGCTGCATTCTTAGTGAGCTGTCCAGGAGGTGGGAGGGAGGGTCTGCTGCTGATTGGCTGGAATGTGTCTGCTAACTGAGGAACAGGGTCAAAGTTTATTCAATGATGAGTCCGCGGCGAACCGTTCAGGACATCACTAGTCCAGATATTTTGAAGTGCAGTATGCGTAGTAAAAAAAGAAATAGCAGCCAACAGTGAAGTAAGTACTATTGATGGAATTAATAGAAATTTGGTAATGTACTTACAATTTTCTGAGGATATAACTTGCTCTAGTATAAACAGCTTAGCTGGTATAATCCCCACCAAGGATGTGCAGGATCCAGGAAGTAAAAAATTAATATAAAAGTAACTAATTAAAAGTATACTTTAATATAAAACAAAACATAACATAAACATAAAATATGTAAAAGAAAGTCCCACTTAACGCAATTCGCCCGGTAGGCTTCTTCAGAAGTGTGGTAAAAGCTTCCTCTGGGTTCCGTTTTTATATGGTCACAGATTTTACTTCCTGGTATGCTTCTTCCGGTTTCCTGATTCCCGTGGAACGCACACATCATACCGGAAGTGACGCGGTATACGCGTCATACCGGAAATGATGCAGCGTCATATATATGATGCTGTATTAATCTTGCGGCGCTCGTGGAACGCACGTACCGCTCGAAAAAAGCGTGCGTTGCGTTCACAGAGTGTATAAGCCCCTAAATAATGGGCATACCCATTTAGTAGGAAATAGCATAACGGCCATATTTGATGTGGGCATAAAGGGAAAGAATAAGTAAAAAACATATATCATATGGTTATTAAGTATATAAATAGATGTTTAACAACACTATTGATGAATATAAAGGAGCAATATATACAAAAAAGCAAACATATAAAAAAATAATAAAAAATAGTCGATATTTAAGTATAAAATAATATCAAGTAATGATAAAAAGGCATAATAGAATTATGAGTATAAATTGGCTCTTATTGTATACAAAAGTGATATTGATATAATTATTAACTTTAAATATAATATTAATATAGTTATATGAAGAGGAGTAGTTGTAAAAAATTGGTAAAAAAATTCATAGCACTGTTTGAAAAGAACAAATATGAATAAAAGGACTTATAGGTTAAAAAATGTATTTATTTATTATAAAAAAATGTAATAAATCAAAATCCACGTTAAGTCCATTTGGGTGTAAAGTGTCTAACTGATATACCCACTGCATTTCTGTTCTTCCAATCTTTTTCACAACGTCTCCTCCTCTCCAATGGTTTCTTACAATTGCAATCCCAGTGAATGAGAGGTGCTTAGGATCATTATTATGCATGCAAAAGTGAGCTGGTACAGAGTGGTTACTTAGACCTTT